GCCACCGCAGCACCAGTTTCTGCAGCCGTATGAGGTGGAGGTGGAGGCGGAGGCGTTTGCGGGGCAATTTGGGAGTAATAACGATGATAATAATTTTAGAGAGAGTTTGGATGGAGAAGTAGAAGTTGAAGTGTGGGGAATGCAGGATTCTCTTTCTTCCTCTTCTTTGCATATCAAACAGGGCGGCGCCGGCGCCGGCGCCCCTCTTAACGATTTTGATGATATCAAACTTCACACGGATCACCATGATCATCATCAGCATCATCAACATCTTAAGTTTCACCCTCATCATCATGACCTACTTCATCACAGGTCACTATTAAATTTAATGCCTTTTCTTTTATATGTCTTTCAATTATCATTCAAGTTTGTGAATCTCCATAGTTTTTGTATACATGTCGACAAAGTTTGGTCATTTTATTCAAGATTTCACATACATATTTATACTTATGCATTACAATGGGGGAGAAAATCGATTAAGAAATTATCCATGACATACGAATCTCTGTCCCAATATTAGTAACGTACGGGAGAAGGTCTGGGATGGGAATTTCGAGGCCAAAAAACCAGGCAAAAATTCTATCTTTTTCAAAAATTGAATAGTATTGTACCTCATTTTGTGTGGAATAAGTTTTAAGCTTATTTAGAGGGCCTCTATTAGACAACAACCTAAAATGATTTAGGGAATGGGACATTCCAACTTTCTATCCAATATTCTAATTTCAAAATCATGGGTCATGTCTTTTGTAGTATAACTCTGTGGAATTGTTTCATACTTCATTTTGGAAAGAAAAATATTTAGATATTGATTCTTGTTATTGATTCCTCTTAGATATTTTTAAACTAWGAGAGAAATGCAAAAATATTTTTGTTTAGATAATGAAATGTCAAATTTTCAATGGGTCAAAACAATAATTATTTTCCGTTTAGAAAGATGAGTCATCAAAGGCAAATGAATTGGGAAAAAAATACAAATGTTGATGATTTAAAAAAAAAAAGATTTGGAAGGGTTTCAAAGTTTTATGGTTTGAGAAAAAAATGCAAATGGTTAACCATAGTTGGCGCCAACCTACCTTTTAAAATTATATTGTATATTTTCTCCCTAAAAACTTGTAGAAGAGTCCTACGCCTGGCCCAAAAAGATAAACCACTAAAGCCTCTAATTTCTTAAATGGGCTAGGCTAGCCCAGTCTATTGCTAAGCAAAATGGGCCAAGGCCCAGGCCATTTCAAACTACCAAGATATTTCTTCTAACTTTCGAACCTTGGGAAGGAAAAGGATGGCTAGCAGTAGCACTAATTAATTACTTTAAATGTTTTTTACTTTTGTGTATGACTAAAATTTGAACTGTGCAGTGAAGAAGCTATGCTGAAGATGGACAATGTGATGTTGAAAGAAGACTCTGACCCAATACAACAGGCTCAAGAGCAAGACCTTAAAGGTGCAGTAGACACTTTATTTACCTTCTCAAATTCTGATACTTAGCTTCTACAACTTCAACTCAACATTAGTTCTCTGCTTTTTTAGTCCATAAATACCCTTTGGAGAAGAAAAAGGTGTCACTTGTCAGTCACTTATTATGAAGGAGAAGGGGGCTAAAACAGTCAATAAAATTTTTCACCCTTCTCCAGTTTATAACCTTCTTCCATCATTCKTTCTTTTTGTAAGAATACAACATTAGTATACCAATTCATTAATCTTTCAAACTCACAGGAAATCACAACATCTTTCTTTGTTGACTTATGCCTCCATTTTTTACTTACCAACAAAGCTCAAAAAGTTGAAACTCAAAACACAGTAAATAGGCAGGCATCAATCAAGGCAAAAAATGTTATTTGATCTCATTGCTTGATATTGTCTTACAAGAAAGTGGATAAAGAAACTCTCTTACTTGGAATCGTTCTCAACCCAAAGAATTCTGTGGATGAACACCGATTCATTCAACCCATCCCTGAGTACTTCCCCTGTATAATATGATCAATTGATCTCATGATATTTATCTTTTATGATTACTGATGAAAATTGAGATATATAATGGAATCAGATTTCAATGTGTGGATACAATGAGGATGGGGAAGAGTTCATCGCCTCCGCCTTGCCTTCGCCCTAGTAGCCCATATCATCCATAGCTGGCATTCTACTTGGAAGCGTGTTCTTATCATTTGGATCTTCCACTATAGCTGCCTCGGCTGTTGTCAAAAGCAGTGAGACGCTGGAAATTCAAGAGCATCAAATATTTAATTACCGCGTTTAGGAGTGGATAACATTTTGTAGTTTGTTTTCTGGTGCAAGGTTTAAAAGGATTGCATAGAGACTGAAATAAACTACGTCTGTAAACTTTTGACGAAGGACATGGGATGGAATATTCACCTGGCAGCATCGACTAAGGCAGTCCTCACAACTTTCAGAGGATCTACAATTCCAGCCTTCACCATGTCAACATATGCACCTGTTTTGCACAAGAACTATCTTCTTAAGTAGCTGTAAAATTATTTACATGCATTGAGGGATGGAAATACTATTAGTTCTAGTTCAGGAATTCAACTGAAGACACAAACAGGCAAGGAAAAGAGAAAATCCAAGATTTGACGACCAAATTTCATGATCTGATGCAGATTTCATGAGAGCAAAAGTTAATAAATCCTTCTACGTCAAGTGGAAAAAGGATATCTTGTAACATGTTGGAGATTAATGAACTTAGAAAATTTCCAACATCTGAAATCAACCAACCTTTGGCAGCATCATAACCAAAATTTCGATCATCCTGTTCTAATAATTTTCCAAGAACCAAAGCACCATCATATCCAGCATTTGAAACTATTGTAAATGTAGGTGCCTGTAGAAARCCGAAGCTCTGATATAAAAAACAAGTTGGATAAGCCCCCAAAAGTAGTTCTGTAGTACTTAAAGAAACGAACAAACCCTAAGAGCTTGTTGCACTATTTCTATTCCTCTTTTCTGGTCTTCATTTTGAGCTTGCAGTTCATCCAGAACCTTCGTAGCATGCAAAAGGGCAACTCCACCACCTAATCATAGCAATTATCCACCAAAGATAAGCTTTCAAGTTTTTCCAACAATACATTTCCCAGTAAAAGTAATACTTACCAGGAACAATGCCTTCTTCCACAGCAGCTCTTGTGGCATTCAAAGCATCTGTGACTCTGTCTTTCCTCTCCCCAACTTCTGCCTCGCTTACCCCACCTACCTGCAAGAAAACTGAATTATTTACGAATGGGGAATACAAAATTCTTTCAGATTTAAGGCAAACATTATACCTTGAAGACTGCTACACCACCAGAGAGTTTTGATAATCTYTCCTGAGCTTTGTCCTTGTCAAACATTGCAGCACTGTTGTCAATAGTTGTTCTCAGCTGCAATGCAATCATCATTCCACAGGTTTATCAGGAATGCATAAACCAGATGCTACTTTTTAATTACATTTTCCAACCGTCCCTAAGAAGACTCCAACTTCAATTAAGCAATAATCTGATTTCCAGCCTCCAGAGAACAAATTTTAAAAGAATTGATATGACAGAATCTCGTCAGGAACAACTTAGTTAGCCACAACAAACCTGCTCACATCTTTCTTCAATTAGTTTCTTGTCCCCACCTCCATGAAGAATGATTGTGTCGTCAAGAGAGACAGTGACCTAAGAAGAAGTTAGCATTGTCCATAAAGCATTAAACAAAAAGAAAACAACAATAGTAAAAAAGAAAGAAGCGCAATGATACACTGGGCATGAACCTTTTTTGCAGTACCAAGCATTTCTACTTGCACTTTGTCGAGAGTTAAACCACGCTCATCAGTGATGACCTGCTGTCCATTCTAAATGTAACTAAACTACCATACAAGAAGTTGATACAATGAAACTTGGATTAGAGCACTTTGTATCACCTCTCCTCCAGTCAAAATGGCAAGATCATCCAAATTTGCTTTTCTGTTATCCCCAAAACCAGGAGCTTTGATGGCACAAACCTTGAAGCAAAAAAAAAGGTCGACGGTGGTATAAGGACTATAGAAGTTGGGTTGTTAATAATATGACGTATGATTATGGTAGGTGTGCTGCAAGAGAAACTGGTCAGGCTCTCATGATAGTATAACATAACTTTGTTCGTATACATAATTATTACTAAAAAAAATATAAGTGACATCTTGCAACTGAAAGAAGATTCTGGCAAGCCTACTACAATATTTTCCCGTATTTCATAAGTTATAAGCCACTTGAGATAAAAATATATTTAACATACGTGATACAACATGGATGCATACAAGCTTTKGAATGGAGGATATTTGAAAGAGTTTTGAAGATAATATCTGATGGCCATGATAATATTCGCAATTGTACAAGAATAGACCTCTGCTGATCAAAGAGATTCATAGTTTCCTGAATATGGCTGCAATAATGCCTGTATCTATTTTGATTATCCAAGAGACACTACAGTTTTTATCGAACTTACACCAGCATGCAAAAACATGCAATAAAGATCAGGGAAAATTAAAATAAGCCTCAAATAAATAAATAACRAGAAATCACCTTCAGGCCAGCATGATGCTTGTTAAGTATCAGCATGGCAAGTGCATCACTCTCAACATCCTCAGCTACAACAAGAAGAGCTCTTTTCTTCTGCTCAGAGAATGAATTATCGTGTTATTTTGTAAGTTCAGGGCATATTATTCACACAACATTGCACATGAGAAAGAAAGACAGAAAGAAAGGGGGGAAATAGGTAAAAACCAAATCAAGATTGATACCTCTACTGCAAGTTCTAGTACTCTCAGGAGTAAATTCAGATCTGAAATTTTCTTTTCATGTATGAGGATGAGAGGGTTTTCTAGTTCCTGCAACAACACAACCCATACGCACACCATTTGAAAAGTTACATGCCACACACTTCGCATAATTTTCACATGACCGACACAGAAATACAAAGCCGATAATGGAGCACAAATGCCACAAGGCAGTTTATGATAGTTTCTCACACTTGACATCGGCAGTCATATTATTAGTGCATTTAACTAAAGCAAAAGGACTCTAAACTTACACATTTCTGGGTCTTTTGATCGTTAATAAAATAAGGAGAAATAAAACCTCTGCCTAGCTTCATTCCTTCCACCACTTCCAATTCATCTTCCAGAGTATTCCCATCCTGCAGAGATATAGAAGTTACTAGAATATAAATTTGGAATTCTTGTAAGTTCAATTACCATAGTATGTAAAAGAAAGTGGGGAACGAAGCTTACAGAAACAGTAATCACTCCTTCCCTTCCAACTTTCTCCATTGCCCTTGCTATCAGTTCTCCAATCTCACGTTCACCATTTGCAGAAATAGTGGCAACCTATTTATAAAAACAAAAGATAAAATAAAAAGGTAAGAATAGTAGAAGAAATAGAGGCAAAGCTAGGATAAAAATGACAAAAAATAAATAATTTTACAGAAAAGTAAACATAGTCGAAGAAATAATATCTTGTGTGTATCCATACAACAAAAACTATTATTACAGAAAATAAATGTATGCTACACTACAACTGCTCTAGGATTAAACACTCACGGGAATAAAAATAAAAAAATCAAGAAAGAATATCAACCAGGAAGCCCTTCATCCAAAAGCAATATCACAGATGTCGTCTGTACTAAAAAAATGTAAAAGGCACTTTTCCAACTTAAAAATCAATTGTTACCAACTATAAAGTTCGAAACACAAACTTATTGTCCAATCTAAATAATCCCACTTGAAAAACAAAAATATCAGCTTACCTGAGTAATTTCTTCTGGGGTGCTTATCATCAATGCTCTGCTTTTCAACTCAGAGATAACAGCATCAACTGCTGTTTTGATACCTATGCGCAAATCCATCACACTTACACCGGCAGCTATTGACTTGCAACCTTCAGTGAGTATGGCCTGAGTCAGAACAGTTGCACAAGTTGTACCTGCAAAAAAACAAGAAAATCACTCATGAATAAACAGCTGACTTATCCAAGTTAAGTGCTCTAAATACTCAATGCTTTACAACTCTTAAGAGTCCAACGTGCTAAATCTTTGTAATCCAAACAACAACACAACCCATGCACACACCATTAAAATGGCATGCAGACACGTCCTACTATCCCTTCCACCCACCGTACCAATGGATAAACTTCGATTTCTAAAAGTAACAAGAAGATCAGGGGCAGGCACAGAATCAGTTAGTGAAAGACTAAAATGTAATTGCAGAAGCCTCATCCATGATCAAAAGTTCAATTTAAATTCTTTATTGAAGACAGCACAATGATAATTCTCTATTTGCTTGATTTCAAATGCAGAAATTCTATTATTATCAAATACCAATCTTTGTTACTTTATGCCTCATAGCTTCCTCCACGCTGTCTACTGTTGTTATTAACTCCAGTTTCAATATAACTTGAGCTTCTCGACATAGAACATTATTAGTAATATATAACTATTTATTATTAAGCAAAATTAAAAAGAAGCAATTTAGGTCAGAGGAAGAAGGTACCATCTCCAGCAGCAGTATTTGTGGCACTCGCAACTTGCTTCACAAGATCCGCCCCAACATTCTTTGCCTTATCCTTGAAATTGATACTTTTGGCTACAGTAACACCGTCCTTTGTGACTTTTGGGCTGCCGTGACTTTTATCAATAATTACATTGCGACCCTAATTTAATTGACCATAATGAAAGAAGCAAGAACTATGAATTAATTACAGTCCCCTTCAAGTTCAAATAGCCATCGAGGAATGTGCAAACATCTAAAAGAAAACTGCAGACAGTTCTTTCCACCATTACAAATTTTGACGTTCCCAGCAATAGAAGAAGTAGCAGAAAAACCGCCAATGTCAAAACGACCAATCAGGTCCGATACCTTTGGTCCCATTGTCACTTTAACAGCTTCAGCAACCTCYGAGACACCTCGAAGCATAGCTGCACGAGCTCCATCCCCAAAATTGATATCCTTCGCCGCATAATTTCTGCTGCTTGTAACCCTGCTACATACCTTTAATCCAGAAAAATCAAGTTTAATATAAAAACCAATCGATATTAGCTCAAACTCGTCCAAATCAAAACCAAACCGATCAACTTTAATTTGATAACCATATCTCTTGTTCAGTCAACATTCAACCGTGAAAAAAAATATCATAAATCCTGTTCATTTCTTTATTGAAAGAAATGCGCGCGAAAATCAAAGAATTATCCCAATATGTAAAAAGAGGAGGGAAAATTCAAAGTACGCTGAACTTGGCTAAATTAACATACTGCAATTGACAACGAAAGTCAAATTTCCTTCTCCAGTTTCATCCTAAGTACAACAACTTCAGCATTCAAATATTACGAAGAAAAAAGAGGGAGAGAGATGCGAACGCAGAGAGAAATGCAAGGAATAGTAGATCTTATTTCTTCTTACAAGTTTTCTCGACGTAGAGGAAGCAAATTTGGAAGCTACACGATACATCGCAGTGAAACGCCTTCACTTTCCGCTCTCTTCTTCTTCCTCCTGAATTCTGAGGGTTTAAGCAGAGGTTTTGAAGAAAAAATCAAAGACACGACTCACGAGTATGCTCATTGGACGGTCGAGATTCGCGCTCATGTCATACTGCGGTAGAGGATTACATCCTTTTTCTTGCCGGGAGAAATTCCTGGAATCTTCAGAACCCATTATTCAGGCCCATCTGTTATCAATTAAAATGGGCCACAATGGGCCTATGATCCCAGGCCTGGATTAGGGGAGTCTACAAGCCGAGGCCCACGAGAAAATGATTTCTTCACTGTACCAAAATATATAGATATGTATGTATATAGACATATGTCCTAGCGTGAAAATTGAATGTTGTGAGATATGTCGAGAGGGTGTTCCAAAGTGAATGTATGACCTATAAAAARGATAAAACTATGCTCCAAYATTGAAGTCAGTCTGGAATGTTCTTAAGACGAGCTATCCATCACACGCACATACCTAAGAATGAAATCGCTCTCCTATTATACCGTTTATAAGTCAAGGGAGGTCCACTTGGAGGTTATTAGACATTTTTTGTGAGAACTATGATGTAGGTTTCTATCGTACCTTGGAGTACGTTGGCATAACATTGGCCATTACTGAGGTTCGAGGTCTTTTACTTTGCCCTAATTCCAAAGTTTTATCTTTTACCATGTAGAGGGTCATTTGGCACTACACATTAACCGTATATATATGTGCTCATTTTGAAAATGTAGATGAATGATTACTTTTAACCAAATTACACATCCATTGTAACCTAACCTAATTTAGATTTTAAAAAAATACAAAATAATAGCCCATGAATAATTGTAAAAGCAACAAAAAAAAATCAACTGTTACATGTATTTTTTAAATTAATCCATTGTTATAATTGATTAATAGATATATTAATCATTTCTTTCCAATTTTTTTTTATCAAATCACTCATCAGAGTTGACATATAAATAATCATAAATGTTCATTTATAACTTTTCGTAAAATAAAAATAAACTATATTTGTAATTTGTTTTTTAGTACAAGAAGTGGAGTTGAGGATTCGAATTTACGTTAGATAGAAAAGAGTAGTATAATTAGTTAAATTATAGTCTGTTGAGAAAAAAAAATATCTTATTTACTAACTGAAATTATATTCTCAAAATATTCGCATTTACAAAATACAATAATCATTATGAGAAAGAAATTAAGAAATCGGAAAGAAAAAGAAATTAACAAACAAATGAGCGGATAAAAAAAATCAAAATAAAACAAAACAGAAGAAAATAAGAAGAATTAAAAAAGGAAAAAAAAATACAATATAAAAACAAGAGACTTCAAATTCCCTCTCTTGCATCAGTTCAAACGATCCATTTCCAGATCTTCACTCTGAAATCCACCTTACACTCTGCATTCTCAACCGCCGCCGCAACCGCCGCCTTCTTCTTCCCCGCCGCCGGAACCCCTGCCGCAATTCCGTCGCAAAAAACCCTAAGTCCAACCTTCGGCGTCTTCAGCCATCCCATTTTCACCTTCACTTTCGTCTCCAGCTTAATCTCCAACGGCAGCCCTGTTTTGCTCTTAATCGCAGCCTTCAGCGAACCAACRGACTCGCCATCGATCTCTCCGCCGCCGCTCGCCGCCGCGGTCACCTTCATCGCAGTGGTGTTTCTCTTCTCGTGCACGAACTCCGGGAACGATCCGYCGCCGACATTGACGCCGTTGGACAGGACGGCGACGGAGATTGGACCGTAGATGAACTTGACCTTCTTGTTAGGGTTTGTGGCGGCGAGATTGAGATCGAATTTGGAAATCAGTTGAGAAGAGGGCGCGAATTTGAAGGAATCGATTTTGAGGGCGGTGACGGAGAAAGAGGGGCGATGCGGACGGTAAATTAGGTAAACGACGGTGGAGGCGACGGCGAGGAGGATGAGGAGGGAGGCGACGATCGCCGTCAGCCAGATGCAGACGGAGCAGCAGGAGCAGCGTCGGCGATTTTGGGGCTGAGGGCGGTAGTTTGGGCGGGAGGCGCCGTAGAGTTGGGATTTGGTGGAAGGGAAGGGCGGCGCGTTGGCGGTGGGGTTGATGTTGTCGTTGGCGTTGGAATTGGCTTTGGCGGCGGCGTTGGGGTGGACTCTGTCCGCCATGGCCGGACGGCGGAGGAGCAGAAGAAACGGCAAAAGGAAAGAGGAGAAGGAAGTGGTGTACTGAATTGCGGATCGAAGCGGGGAATTTTAAAAAGATGGATGCTTTGGTTTCAAGGAAGAATTCCTTTCTTTTTGTTTTTTTTGGATAAATATTTGTTATTGATATTTACTTTTTGTTTTGAACAAAAATATTTAGTATATTGTATAAGGTAAAATATTGGTTATGAGATTTGAGGCAAGGAACAATATAGGAGAATGAGAGAGGCAGTGAAGAGGGAGGAGAGAAAATATATTAGATGAAGTTAGTATAGTTTTTTACAACTAATTAAAAAAAAAAGTTGTCAATGAAGCCCAATCCCCTATTAATTGTCATTTTTGTTAGCTAAATTACCACTCCAATGAACTCATGGACGGTTTATAATCATTTTATTTAAAACTTTACATATCAAATATACACTTACAGTAAGTGGACCAAATATGTATTCTACATATATATGTACTCGATAAATAAATAAATAAATATATATATATATATATATATATATTACAAAATATTTGTGAATAATTTAGTTGGTTGTTTCAATAAATAGTGATCAAACTTATCAAAATAGGGAGCAATTCATATGAAATTATTTTTGTTTTTAATAAATAATAATTTTTTTTCTACCTTTCTTTCTCCTACTTATTGAAAACAAGAAAAAATTCATACTTAACCATCATGACATTAATATCACAATTTAAACAAATTTATAACAAATGTTAACATATAAATACGAAGCAAGACATATAACATGTCAAACACCAATTAATAAAGAAGTCAAATAAAATATAACTTATCGAAAATTAGGTTGATTTAAATAGATAGAATTTTATTGAAGTACGTTTTTAATCTTTATATTTATATCCTTCTTTTTCTTAGAATAACTAAGTTCTCGATCTAATTTTGTCATGTTTGACTTTTAATTATAAAATTTGTCTAAAAAAAGAATTGGAAATATGAAATTTCACCATAGTAGTTAATTTCATACGGGCTTCTCAATTAGAGTATTTAACATTACATTTAAAACTAAAACATTATGAAAATTGGGAAAATGAAAACATTATAAGAAGCTGAAATTTGTGGCAAAAATATTGGGGGGTAGGTGTGGACCGAATTTGGAAGTGATGGTTAGGTGGAACAACGGAATCAATGACCGCAACTTTGCAACCATTCCTCACCACCTTCAGCGCGTGGATCTCACTCGCGCAAGAGTTTTACTATTATGTTTAAATATTATTTATAGTATTTATAATTTGAAATTTGATCAATTAGTTTCTATACTTTTAAAATGTCTATTTTGGTTTATATACTTTCAATTTTTGTTTATTTTAGTCGATATATTTTTTTGAACGTTTTGATCTCTTTATTTTTTAAAATTGACCATTTTAGTCTATTCATTTTCATTTTTYTCATTTATATCAATCGAAATTTTAGCATGACACTTCAATCATTACGTTTATTGAAATGTAGGTCATAATTAGTATTAAAGAGATTATGTAGTATATAATATTTATTTTAAAAAATATTRTAAATATAGATTAAAGTAGTCGGTTTTCAAAATTACARAAACTAAAATTGACGCTATGAAAGAATATGAGTAAATTGAGAAAGAAAAAAAAAGTAAAAAATGCATGAATTAAAATTGACATTTTAATAATATATATACTAAAATCAACACAGTTAGAAAGTGTGGAAGCTAAAATAGTATTTAAAACCTTATTATTACTATTATTATTGAAGGTTTATTATCGTATTGTTGAAGTTTTGAAACTTTATAAATTTTAATTACATTTATAGACTTTGAATTGTATGATTATGTGTCATATCTATATTAACAATGTTAACTATATATTTATATGAAATTTACCTAAAACAAATGTTGGTTAATTTTTAGATAATTAATGCTACTAGTTATAAAAAGTTAAAAGGATATACTSAATCACAATTCAAAGTTAACAGAATATCCAAATTTTATGTTAGACRCATAGGTAACATTCTTCTTAAACATTTGCTTCACCGATTGTATATTTATTTTTTAGTTCAACAAAAGTAGATTTAGAGATTCAACTTTTAACATGAAATAATGTAACAAGTATTTTATCCATCGAACTATGTTCGAATTGATTAAACAAATAAAACCGTCCAAATAACATATAGAATAACTAGTACGCTAAACAAATACAAAGGACTACAATAGTAATTTAAAATGTAAGAAAAAAAAATACAATTTTTACTATTACAAACTTATAAAATAAATAAACAATTACTACAAAGTTAAAGGGTAGCGTGAATCCAACGCGCAAAGCGGGAGTGTGGGGCTTCGCTTAGCTCCTCACCTTCTCTAATTGGGATCTTTCCTTATCGTTTGGTGGCAACAATTACACACGTGTGAATCTAACTGCTCGTACAAAGCCGGAGGCCCAACCTTCCAATGCACGTGCGATGATGAATATTTATTTAGTAAATTTATTCTAAAAATAAAAACTACATATTTTAATGCTTTCAGTATTCTCAAATTTTAAATTTGAAACATTAAAATATGTAATTACACTAAAAAATATAAATTCCTTTTTGATAAATATATTATTTATATTATAAATTCATTAATTTWAAAAAAAACATATAACATAATATATTATACACTATATAATATTACAAMGAACGTAATTATAYAAACTTCATAACATCTATGTTAATAAATAAATTAATAAYATTTTAGATTTAWTTAACATTACTAATGATGTGTAAATATGTTACTATATTATAAAAAAATAGTTATACGGACTTTATAACATATTTGTTAATAAATTAATTAATAATATTTTATATTAAACTAAATATTTAATTGGTATTATTATTACTGGATAAATATATTACTATCCATATTAAACAATTTTTAAATAAATTCAATTTTCAAATCTTACTTGAAATAAAATTAAATTTTCTTAACATCGGAACGGTGATATTAATCGATCACCAATCACCAGCATAATGTATGGTGGGTAGGTCCGCATGTTATAATTAACCAGCAAAACTGTAACATTTAATTTTGATCTATACGGTAATAATTGCATTTATTTAATGCTCAATAATTGTTTTACCATTTCACCTATCATATGAATTATGATAAACGCCAAAAATTGAATCAAATTGCACCGATCCCAATGAACATAATTTATTTTATTTTTTTTCTTTCAAATAATTCATGATGATTTAATAGGTCCTTATTAAATTTAGAAAAATGTTAAATTATCAATGAATTGGTCCAGTGACCATGAGACACGTGGAAAAAAAAACAAGGTTTTAAAAGAATGAGGTCAAATTTAATGGCGAATGCACATATTGTAGAATAAGATAAAATTGTACTATARGACTAGCCAAGTTCAAATTTTATAGTGGCAAGATATTTTCGAAAATGATTGATCAGTATTAAATTGAATATCTTAAAACGTGCATTATCAAATTTAAAACAAATTCAATTTATAAATATCAATTTGGAAATTAGTGTGTCTCACGAGGGCTATTTTTTAGCTCCATTTTTTAAAATGGAACTTTCTTGAAAGAGTTAAAGATGCCCACCTCAAACAAAAGGAGAAAAAGTGCATAGCTAAATAAGGAACTAGCTTCTATTTATTGGAATTTGTTCTCGTCATCTAACTAATGGTCATCAAATGAAAGTCGTTAATCTATACATTTTAGTCTCTGTTTTACGCTCTGAAAATACTTTAATATGAAGTTATGATTATATTTCAAGAAACATATTGAGTGTAATGTAATATTTAAATTGTGATCGAAAAAATTGAGTGCAGTGTAGTATTTAAACTGTGRTCRGAAAAAATRAGATAAAAATGAAATGAATAGATCAAAACAATCAATTTCTAAAAATATAGGGACTAAAATTGATATTTTAAAAGTACATTAATCAAATTGTATAGGTATTAAAATTGAAAAATTTCATTACCAATGAGTTACTTTTTAAAAAGTTGATATTATTAGATTGCAATATATAACAAAGAAATGATTATTCACGTCAAAAAAAAAACTTAAAAGAAAACATTCGATTTTGTGATTAATTTGATTGAGAAAGTAGTCGAATCACCAATTATAGATATTAAAATCGTCGGTCGTAGATAATGTAATTTGGAAGAAAAATCACCGACAAAAGTGTATTATAACACACGTGGCAGGACAAGATTGGGCGTTCGCGTAGGGAGGCGACACAGCAGGATTGAATAAATAATTATAGAAAGGAAAGGTTGTGTCCGTGGCTGCGTTACAAATAAACTACCAAATCTTATTTGTGGGCCCGGGGCCGCCATGGGTGCGTTACCTGTCAACATTTATTGGCTTTTTAGGCGCCATTCCTTTGTGCTCCATGGATTATCCTTGAGCYACTTTTTTCTTTTAACATATGGTTTCAACTTTATTTAAATCTTATCTTCCATTACCTCGTTTGATTGGATGTTATCTCGTATTTAGAAGTGATCGTCGAAAAAGAAAAGAAAAATTGTCGTTGGCTTTAACATTTCGTTCTTAATCTGAGATCGAGTATATTTAGTCTTTATATGGTTAAGAGATCATGGTAGGTTAAATCTTACGTCTAATGTGTTATTACGATGGACTMTTTAGTTTAATGTTGTTGAATGATAAAATTTGGCCAATTATCAAGTTTCATGTTATTATTTTAAATAAATGACAAAATTATATTTGGGATCAATCACAAATTTACATGTGTCTCGAATTGATTTTAAGATCAGTAAATCAAATAATAAAATAATATCACGTAGCTTTCTTATGATCGTATGATTACTTGATTGATTGGATTAGCAGACTCAAACCCACGTACGCCATGAGAACAAGGATCTATAAATAGAAGACGTCACCCCTCGACCAACTAAAAGCATTTAAAATCATCCAATAGAACCAACTAAAATTGAAGACTCGAAGAAAGCTGCAAGCTGGAGAGCTTTACCAAATTGCATAGTTGAAAACTGCATAAAACTAAAGACTTCCAATAAACTCAAAGTCGAAAACTTGAAAGATTTTCCAACAAGTTAGAAGTCGAAGACACAACCTCTTGCTTGGAGAACAAGCTTACCAACCTTCAAATCRAAGTTTGCTTCTAAGATAAAGCATCAAATGATTATATATATATAGATATAAATACAAGTTCATCTATTTCCAGCTTCTCTTCACAAAAATCTATTGCGAACAAATTCTTAGACGACCAAACTCCTAAACTAACTTTGTAGTTAGCCAGTTACGTAATTCTTGAATGATATAATAAATAGTGCACCACATTGTGTTAAACTAATTGAGTTAACGATGTGGACTTATTAACCAACTTGAACACAACTCAGTTGATTAATACATATACAATCGATCAAAGGTCGGAGGTTTAAATCTCCACCCCGCATATTGAATTAGGAAAAGAATGATGTAAATTTATCAAACACAAATCAAAAGTTTCTACGTGCATAAACTTTATAAAGTATTTAGACTAAATAGATACGATTTGAAACGTGATCAACTTTCTTGATTATTACACTCACTCTCATTAAATTATTTTCGGGCACCTAATTATATATTTTCACTAATCTCTTTTCCTTAAAGAGTAATCATTCTCAAAATTTCCAAAGGTTACGATCTGGRGTCTCATTCTAACTAAGAATTTTTGTGGTTTGGAAAATTATAGCTATGCTTTCTTCCCATTCTTTTTGTTTTCTTACTATTGTTATAGACATTCTCTTTTACAAGTCTCTCTCATGCCACTTTTTTCTCTAATAACTAATAAGTAGCCTTCTCTCTCTACATTTATATTTTCAATCCACAATAAAGAAAATAAAAGAAAAAGAAACGAAGTGGGCAATGGGTAGTTGATTCATAAATAGTTTTTGTAGACTGGCCTAAGCTTAATTGTCATCAAAGATTAGACTTTTTTCTTTTTTTTTTTTTTTTTTAATTTTTAAGAAGCAAGAAACAAAAATTTCAACTATGATTCGTCTTCACTGTTCAAATTCTTGGACCCATCGATTTTCAACCCGCTAAAAAAGTTCGTTGCCAAATTCATGATTAGTCAATAAACCCAACTTGGTCTTCTTCTTTTTTCAAACTTTTAAACGATTATCGAATGTCCTCGTGGAGAAATAGTTGGGACATTTGGCTGAATTGAAGTCCAGCATTCCCCAAAAATCAAAATCAAAATCAAAATCAAAATCAAAATCAAAATCAAACCATTTTAAAACCCTTTTTCTCTCCCCACTCAGCTCCATTAATCGTGTCCTCTAGTGCTTTTTGGTTAACCAGATCGAGCAGCCCTTTAACCCCGATGACTACAAGACAGTGCTGTGTTAGAGTTCTTAAAGCTCTGCGAATTCCGGAGCTTAGTCTGCGTTTGATTTTTGCTTGTTTTCCCATCGCTTTTTACAGTACAATTTGTGGGTCTTCTTCATCTGTCATCAACAAAACTGCTCCCTAGCTGTTACTAGTCCCCATGTCCCCAGTCGCTAAATTGTCTGTTTCTCTCTGATTTCTCTCTCCATTTTTGGAGTAGAGATCCGATGGGAACTGCAGAAATCTCCTCTGAATTTGGGGCTCGGATGGGGTTTCGTTTGCTCTTTCTGCTGTTTGAAATTTGGTTTGCTGTCTGCTCTTTCTCGGCCTGTGAAGCTGCTGCAGGTAATGGGTTTTGGTCTGGTCAGTAATGGTGAATTTCATGTTTGATCTGATCGTATAAGTTTCGCTAAATTTGATTTGGAGATGACTTTGAAGATCTGGGTGTGATCTGGAAAGAGTTGGGATTCTGTTCAATGTCAATTCTATGGGAGAAACAGTATAATTGGCTTCATGCATAGAATATTTTGTTTCTTTTTTGTATATACCAAGTTGGATGGTTCAGAAACTAGAACAAGAACTGGAGCTGATATTTAGCTTGTTTTCAAGTTTAGTTACAGATTACAAACAAGTACATGTTACTTCTTRCAGGAAGTGACCAAAATATGCATACTGTACTCCATCTTGTGTTGCCTGCAGAGATTTCTCTCCATTTTCTGATGTTACTGCTTTCATTTTGCAGTCATCCTCCCGAGCAGGCCGAGCAGATTGCGTTCTGTACTTGCAGGTGAATTCATTCAACTATTCCTCACCAATTGGATCTTCAAAACTCCTTAGGAATATCTATAAAACTTTCTTCTATATGAAGTTAATATGTTACACAGGAAAATTGAGCTCCGAAAGAAGTATTGAAAAACATTAATCTCGAGCTAAACGAAAGTTAATTATGTTGAGTGGTTTTGTTTCCTTGTAATGCTGCAGACCATGGCGTCTCTCCAACATCTCATGACTTTGGCAGCAAACACCATGGCAAGTTCGACAATGCAGTTCCTAGCAAACCATTTAAAAGTTCATCTCCTCAGATCCACTCTCATTATAGAGGTGACCTTTCATCCCACAACTTTCTGAGCTATGAAATGAAAATTYTTGCCATTGATCATATAAACAGTTACATTTTCTTCTGATGCAGCCATTCAATCCGACGATTCGAGAAGGGCTCCTAGCATTGCGCTTCCACCTTCTGCACCTGCTAAGAAATGGGTGCACGGTCATGCATTCTCACCAGTGATCTCTTTTCATAAATTTCACCATTCGAGAAGGAAGTTCAGAAACGACGCTCCACAACCTACTTATCATTCATCGCCCCCATCTAGCGGCGAACAAGGTTCGGAGTCTTGAAATATATTAGTTCATCTCTAGAATCTTAGCCATTTAGATCTATGGAAGTATTCACTACTGAGCTTTCAGGCCCTGCTGCTGTCTCTCCGATTCAGTCACCGTTATCATCTGCAGCGAGAGGGAGATTGCACGGACCTGCGCCATCACCAACAATTCAACCTAACCACTATTATAGTATGACAAGGAGAACCTTCACTTTAGTTCAAACTTGAACATTTTTTTCCATCATTTAATGGTCATGTCTTGTTACTAACAGTGCCCATTCCTGCTCCTACAACTTCTCCTTTGGGTTCTTACAAGAAGAGGAAGAAGAGCATGCCACCATCACAAGTTATGATGCTACCACCTCCACCTCCTAATGGGGGTAGGCACACACTTTCCTTTTAGCATTGATATCAAATTATCTGAAAATAAATCGCATTCTAATCACCATATGTTTTATATTTCATACTTGTAGACTGTGGAATAGCATGCACAGACCCACTGACCTATACGCCTCCTGGGATGCCATGTGCTTGCGTGTGGCCAATTCAAGTGAAAATCAGCCTTGATGTTGCTATATACACATTCTTCCCTCTGGTTTCAGAACTTGCAGAGGAAATTGCAGACAGTATCGGTCTGAACCATAGCCAAGTTCGAATTATGGGAGCCGATGCTGCTAGTCAGCAGTTAGAAAAGACAACCGTACTCATCAACTTGGTTCCAAGAGGGTTGAAATTCAATCATACCACGGCCTTTTCCATCTATCAGAAGTTTTGGCAGAGAAAGATATTCATCAACTCTTCCCTGTTTGGCAGCTATCAAGTACTTAATGTCAAATATCCAGGTTATCTCCCGATCCTTCATCTTTTTGGTTTGAATACTCAAAATTTCAATACACAGTGGGTGTAGACAAGTAACTCTAGTGCATGTTTACATGGTTTTTCGTTGTGCTGTTCTCACTCATTGGTACTTCAAAAGAAGCATGGACTGTCTCTTGTTGGAGCAGTTGTGCTAAGATGTAAGACAAGAAAATTTTATGCACCATGAATTTCCAATAATCTGAGGGGCATAACTTTTATATGCTTGGAGTTCCTTCCCTGCTTATCTGATCAGCTTTTCAGAGGCCTTCATAAAATCCAACAATGTTTCTTTTCTGATAAGCTCTAGCTTATGCAGGTCTTCCGCCATCCCCTCCTTCAGCGCCTTCGGGTACTTCTGCCATTAATGATGGTTTGAACTCTAGCAATGCTAATGCTGGAAATGCGATAAAACCGTTGGGAGTTGACGTGCCGAGAAGAAGAAGAAAAGAAGGGCTTGGCGGAAACATGATTGCCGTGATTACAATATCATCTTTCACTGCCTTTGTTATGTGCGTTGGAATTGCTTGGCTCTGCCTGTTGAGATGCAGAGTCTCTGCACATCAACCAGGACAAGTTCCACAAAACTTGATAGCCTCACCCACAAAACCACCAGGTAAAGTTAATTCAACCAAATTCTCCAATTTTTTTAAAGGCAGATCAGAATTTGTTTGTCCTGAACTCGGTCTTTTTCACATGGTATAAGCAATTTCCTTAGGCACTGCTGGATCGATAATGGTTGGATGTGAACCCAGTTCTTCATCCATGCCTCTTGATGCTGATCCCATGACTTATATCGGTGCTGCAAAGAACTTCACCTTGAAAGATATTGAGAGAGCCACTGATAAGTTTGATGCTGCAAGAATATTAGGAGAAGGTGGCTTTGGAATTGTTTACAGTGGCAGTTTGGATGATGGAAGGGAAGTGGCCGTGAAGGTTCTCAAAAGACATAATCAACACGGTATTCGGGAATTCTTGGCAGAAGTCGAGATGCTGAGCCGTCTACACCATCGAAATCTAGTTAAGTTGATCGGTATCTGTACAGAAGATCAAATTCGTTGCCTGGTATATGAATTGGTTCCTAATGGAAGTGTCGAATCGCACTTACATGGTAGGCAACTTTACCTTGTCATTTGTGTTCTGTTGAAATAGGCTTAAAATTATGCATCATAGATGGTTTGGCATTCATATTAAACTATTTTTATGTGATTCCCAGGCATTGACAAGTTAACCGGTCCACTTGACTGGGATGCCCGGATGAAGATTGCCCTCGGTGCTGCTCGAGGCCTAGCCTATCTGCATGAAGACTCCAATCCTCGAGTCATTCATCGAGACTTCAAAGCTAGCAACATCTTGCTGGAATACGACTTTACGCCTAAAGTTTCTGATTTTGGATTAGCTAGAACTGCACTAGAGGAAGGAAACAAGCACATCTCAACCCATGTCATGGGAACTTTTGGGTAAAACAAAACTTCTTTCTGACATGTAGTTTCTTCAAGTTCATCTTTCCTCTTCAACATGTTTATCTTATACAATATATTACCTTCTGGTTTCCAGTTATCTAGCTCCAGAATATGCAATGACAGGCCATCTTCTTGTAAAGAGTGATGTCTACAGTTATGGCGTTGTCCTTCTCGAGCTACTAACAGGAAGAAAGCCAGTTGACTTGTCGCTTCCACCCGGGCAAGAAAATCTCGTTGCTTGGGCTCGTCCGCTTCTTACAAGCAAGGAGGGGTTAGATGCAATAACAGACCCAGCTATTAAGTCCAATATCCCCATTGATAGCTTGGCAAGAGTAGCAGCAATTGCTTCAATGTGTGTGCAACCCGAAGTGTCTCATCGGCCATTTATGGGCGAGGTTGTTCAAGCTCTCAAGCTTGTTTGCAATGAGTTTGAAGAGACTAATGAGCCAGATTCACAAAGTTACAGTCGAGACGAACTTCTAAGTTACATGGATAGTAGACTTGGAAGAATGTCAGGTGAAATACTAAACACTTTCGAGACCTCACAACCGAAGGAGACAAATGTGGGATTATCGGCCTCGGATTTGATCAGTGCATCTGCAAGATTCGAAGGACAGGAACTGGTTTCTTCCAGATGGCATTCGTCAAACTCGGAACCATTGAGAACTGGAAAAAGAAGGCACTTCTGGCAGAGGCTGAGAAGTTTGTCACGAGGCAGCATCAGTGAACATGGCTTTTCTTCAAAGTTTTGGCCTGGATTTCATTAGTTTTTCAGTGATGTTTATTCATATCTTGCAACATCTGTGAAGTTCAAAGCAATTGCAATTCTGAGGCCTTTAATATTGTGGCCATCTTTTTAGATCAGTTCTTGGAGCAATCATATCAATATCATTGACATAAGCAATAACAGAGACAAGGCCTGAGAGTAGACAAATTAACACTATAATTAAATTAAAAAAAATGGATGAAGAATTAATTGAATAAAGCAAAGAAGTTAGATGTTCCACATAAAATTATTCACACTATCCTCCTTCAAGATCACAAGATCACAAGTTGTTCATACATAACTGCAGATGCACAATCACTAAAATCTAGCTCCAATATAAAGAACAAGTCTAGTTGAGACCAGGCTCTTTCTTCTTCTCTCTCTCCTTTTCTTCAACTGCTTTGAAAGAAGGAAAATTCATCAACTATCAAAAGAATACAAAACAAATTGGCTGAAAGATACTAAAGCTAAAGAATACTTTTCATATTAAAAAAATTTGTAATTTCCATGCCAAGCAAGAGATCCTGTATGTCCACCTGTTCTTCAAGAATCAAGTACACCAGATCACACTTCCACTGATAACTAACACTGCTTGTAATTCTTTGCAGTATTTCTGCTCCCTATATTCCAGCTTTCCTTCCCAATCTATCCATCAAGATTTTCTGACCCATATACCTGCATACACAAAAAAGGTATCCATTTGTAAATAGTTGCTTTTATTCATCTTTCTAGTTCCTTCTTTAGAAGAGAGTAAGGATCTACAAGCAGAGATTTATAATTATACCTTCCCATCATCATAACAGTAGCTTGAGGATTGGTGCCAGGAGACTCGCTGAATGTTGAACCATCGACAATGCGCAGCCTAGTTACACCGAGAACCTTCCGGTCATGGTTCACGACCTTGCCCACTAGGCACCCTCCATGGTAGTGCCAGATTGTGATCACAGTGTCTCTGCAGAACTGCTCCAAGGACTTGGTATCATTGGTATGCTTAGGTATGAGGTTGATGTTGGCTTTGACACTAATATTAAGCAGCTTGTCCAATGTTTCCTCATTGCACTGTGTGTAGTTTGTGAAGTATTTAGAATGTACAATCTTTGTAACCATACGAACCCCTTCAACGCAACGGTGAAGATCATTAGGATGACCAAAGTAGTTGAAGGTCACGGCAGGATTGTCGTCAACATTAGTGTTGATCAAGCTTAATTGTCCTTTGGAGATGGGATTTGCTATTTTTTCTAGAACAAAACCTCCTTTAAATGCCTCACGGGGTAAGTCTTGTTTGTTTTTTATGTAAGCTTGAATGGCTTCTGGCGTTCTTTGCTTTGGAGGAATGGTGGATAGCTGCCCAATCTGGTTAAACCCACAAAATTAAGCATCGCACGGAATCAACATTTTCTACATACATACTTGCAATCTAATTCACTCATTTGCGGAGACAGTTTAACTCATAAGTTCTTATCTAAAGAACCAACATCATAAAATCAGATTTAAGATTGGTAAAAAAAAAGGGGAGGTGTTAAATTTACCTCAGCTGACATCAAACCATGGTGACAGTGAATACTTTCCTCGGACTGCCCAAATCCACTGCTAGATTCAATATAAACACCAAGCTTGGTGATTCCAACTGCTTGAATAAGGGACTGCTCAACTGGTCTGTTGCTAGGAACAAAAATGGAGTTCAAGGGGTTATCAGCCATGCCTTTCCCAACAAACTCATTGTCAAGCACCACAGAGATGTTCCACTTCTCAAGATCAGCCCTCGGCCCAATTCCACTGAGCAGCAGCATTTGCGGAGTCGCAATTGCTCCACTGGATAAAATAACTTCACTCTGCCGCTTACTCGAGAGAAAGACTTCGTTCTGATTGCCAGTTTCATCCTTGAAAACAACTCCAATCGCCTTCGGTTTCATACCTGCAGTGGGCAAATCGATAACCGATTAGGCTAAGAGACGAACAGAGAAAACCCTAACCCAAGAACCCCACATTTTAAATTCAGGGAACGAATCGGAATGGCGAAAAACAAAAACAAAAGAGAAGAAGCAAAGGAAACGAACCATGAGCGGAGTGAAAAATGAGTCTCTGAACCGTGGCGTGAACGAGAACGGAAAGGTTATCGGGATTCCCTGAAGCTAAGAGCTCGGCGGTGGTGTGACGGCGACCGAACCTGTCGAAAATAGTGCCTCCGACTTTGGTGCCGTAGAGATGATCGTAGGTGAAGCCATTGAAGGGCGAGATTCCGACGTCTAAGAGACTGTCGGTGAAAGCCTTCTGCCAGCCGGCGAGCTCCGGCCGGTGAACAATTTGCCTCTCCACCCATGAGTATGATTCGTTCACCAGCTTCGCGTCCCACCCCACTTTCTTTATAAATCTGCAATTTTTTTTTTTTTTGAGAAAATAAATCTGCACTGTTAGTTACAATTTCGTCTTTAATTTTAATTTCTAATTAGGTTGTTCATTAAACAGAATCAAAATAAAAAATTGTTACAAAAATGATCATTATATTGAAACTATATTTGACAATTCAAGAAATTTAACTGGTCTATCAATAAAATTAATTTCTTTTAATTTGTATATCTACATGTTTAAATGACWACATGAATATTGATCAACGACGTGTGCTTGAAATTGAACTTAATAAAATAATAATTTAGTAATACAAATTTGAAAATAAAATAATTATTTTACGTGGGTCACGTAGATACATTTATATACATGTATACATCTCCACTAAATCAATTATATGTATATTATATACTAAAATTAAAAAAAAACAAATTACCATTTTCTGTTTTTATTAACAAAATAAATTCAAGATATGAGAATTTAAAATTTCAATTTCGAACTATGCTCGCTCGAACTAACATGAATTTGACAGGGGGAAATTGGGACAAGTGAATTTTGTTCTTAAATTTCAACAATCCAATGCAGAGCAACATTTATTTTTACCACTACTTAATATAATAATTACAAATAAATTTGAGAATAAAAACAACTAAAAAAGTATTGTATAAAAGTCGTTTTCTAGGCGATTTTCAAAATTTTCATATTTAGCAGTGAATTATTTGAATAGACTCTATATCATGAACTGTCTTTTCTAATATAGGCCCGGTGATGAATTGTTGCTACCAACTAATCTTATACTAATCAATTATCATTCGTAGTGGATAAATTTGCTCTATTATTTTCGGTGTTTTCGTGTTTGACGATCGTCTCATAATCATTCACTCGAACCTAGTTTAACTAATTATGACATATATATTTATTAAGGTCGGAGATTCCAATCCTCACCTTATTGGATTAAAAATCTTATAATAAGAAAAAAAATAATTATATTAATACTAATTATAGATTAAAATAGTAAAAAAAAGTATAGATTAGAACAAAAAAAAGACAAATTATTTTAAATAATTTAGACCTAGTTAGATAACTATTTCGTTTTTAATTGTTTCATTTTAAAAATTAAGCTTAAAAATATTACTTTTACCAATTCAAAATATTACTTTTACCAATTCCTTAAATAATTTATATAAACATTTTTTCAAAAATTAAGTTAAATTTTAAAAATAAAAAATATTAATTTTTAAAATTTTGTTTTTTATTTAAAATTTGGTTAAGAATTTCAATACATTTTTAAAAATTCTATATAAAAAGAAGCAAAATTTTTAAAAGCAAAAAAGTAAAACCAAATGGATATCAAACCACATCTTATTAGTCTCCACAATTATTTCTAATAAAATTATATAATTAAGACATCGGGAACAAAATACAGAAGTGAGAGAGAAAATTTTTCCTTTGCAAAAGAAAATAAAAAAAGAGATTTTTTTTTTGAAATCGTAGAATTATAACGGGTGGGAAATAAATAGAACTACCTGGAACTTGCTCTGGTATAGAAGCCAGCATTAATGGCGGAACCACCACCCAAGACCCTGGCCCTCGCATTGATAACTCCGTCCGTCGAGACGAAGGCCTGCGAAGCCGAGCTCGGAGAAGTATCGGCGAGGCCGATGTGAAAGTTCCGAAGCAAAGACACGTTCGCATTCGTGAAAGGAACGCCGCCTCTTTCCAGCACCAGAACCCTGAACTTCTGCGACAGCGTCGCCGCCAATGGACATCCGGCGGTGCCGCCGCCCACGATTATGTAATCGAAGCCTTTCTCTCTCGCTCTATCTCTCTCATGGCCGCTGCGCGAGAACGAGCTTGCGCGCTTGATGAACGGGTATCGCGATTTCACCCAATTTTCCCTACCTGCACTTTCCACCGTTTTCTTTTTCTTACTAAAATTGCATAGAATCGCTTATTTTGCTGAAGAGGAAAAGCCTCAAATCTATGCGTTTTTTCTTTTGGACGTTTTAGGGCATGATAAAAACACAGTGATTCGAAAACAGAGCTGCACTACAATGGAAGGTATCAGAGGAACCGACCTTGGCAAGAAGAGAGGCAGAAGAGAACAAGGAAGAGAAAAAGCTTCACTGTCCCAACCAACGCCATTGATCATCAGTTGCAGAAAAGGAAAAAAAGTATGCAGTCACAGTACCAAAGGAAGCTGCTTCTTCCAAACCTGTATGTGGCCTCTTCTGGTTGGCCTTGATTTGTGTGTGGGTCACAGATTTATACACTGAAAACGAACCCCAATAAAACATTATATATTGAAATTAAACACCAAGAGAAAAAAATACATCTATCTGGGGATCATGGAAAAAAAAAATGAAAGAGGTAATTAGAGATTTGCTGTACAGCTGCTGTGTATGCTTATTTAATGTTGAATTAAATGTCACAGTTGGAGTTTTGGATGACCGCTTGTGGACCGTTGGATGAAGTCTTCTGTGATCTCATCGGGGCCGTTCATAAACACAAGGCCAGCTCACTCACCAGTCTTTCATATAACTGTATGGGTACGTATATTTATTGTGTTGGTTTGGTAGCTACCAGTTGATATGATCTAGTTTAAGTAATTTGGAAGAAACTGAAGGGTGAAAAGGGAAAGATACTTTAACATTCTATAATCTTCAGAGTTATAGCCGTGGGGAACAAGGTTTGAGGCAGAAAAGGCTAAGTTGAAGAGAAGAGATTGGATTTTAAAGAGTGAAGTGTTGGTTAATATCAGTTTATGGAAACTAACTGCTTTTGTTATTGAATTTGTTTAAAGAAAGAAGAGCCTTTCGACAATAATATCAAGAGATTGAATAAGACGAAATCACTCCGGTCCGTTTTGGTAACAATTTCGTTTTTGGTTTTTTTGTTAAAAATTCTACTTGTTTGTCTCGTAGTGTTTTTCACCTTTAAAAAAACACATTTTAACTTTTAAAAACAACTTTTTATTTTCAAAAATTGACTTTAGATTTTGAAAACGTTTAAAAAAAAGTAGATAGAATAAATGGAAAAGAAATGCATAGGTGAGAGTATTTGTAAACTAAATTTTAATGGTTATCAAATAATGCCTCGTTTTTCTTTAGTTTTTTCCATTCTCATCTCATTAGAAGGAAACAATTTGAGTGAGTCGTATTGCACTCAGCCAAAATTTTGAAATTGGAAGAACAAAACTGACTATTGATTGACATACTATTCTTATGAAAGATTTTTTGAAAAGAAAAAGGAAGAAAAGATACAGTCCATCAATTTCCACATGACTACCCAACCAAAGAGGCTGTTTAGTGCATACATCAATTGTATTTATGAACTCATTGAAAGGGAGGATAGAGGCTATGAGGGAATGAAGTTTCTAGGAGATAAGTTGGGTGAAATTATTGGGGAGGATGACACCGGAAAGTTATCTTTCATTTATGCTTAATTTTGTTTATTTATTATGGAAGATTTTTGTAACAAATACTTTCAGTAAATTACTGAAAGTCAAACGAGCAATACTTTGATAGGTAGGAGATAATATGTTTTTTTTTTTTAATTTAAATGAAGAGTTGTCAAATTTTAACTGGAATTTTTGTAGAAGTCCGAAAGTTCTAACCTTCAATCCTTTGATTTGGAATACTTGTATTATTGCTGCTACACACATAAATGTAGACGTTTTGACTGATTTGCCCCTGAAAAGTGAAGCACAGCTTCTTCCAAACATTTGTTTGGGAAAGAGAGGCATTGGACCAACCTTTTCTTTTTTTTTTTTTTTTGCCCCAAGCTAAATGCTTTACTTGGATGATAGATATTGAAAGTTGAATTAGTTGAGGAAATAAATTTGATGAGTAAATTACTTGACTGAGGGGTGCAGATGGATCAGCTTTATTCAATCGTGTAAGATTAGGTTGTTAGTTGAATTCTCTTTTTACTCTTCGCATTTCCCAAAGAACCCATCTCTTCCTCTCATGAAAGTTTTGGTAGAGTTGTAAATTTTAGACTTCTCTTGCTTTTTTTTTTCAGGACGGTGTGGAAATTAATGAGAATGTCGCAACACATGACATCACATACTACTTTTTCACATGATTTTCTTCTACAATGATAAATGTAAAGCAAACGAGAAGAATAGCAAAACACTTGAAATCGATTTCACTGCATTCCAAATATAAACATTCTAGTTCAAGCTTTCCAATTTGAGCTTACACATTTCCCCCTGCACTATGAAGGGATCCGAACAGCTCTTAACTGAAGAAATATTTGGTGCACTTTTTTTTTTCAATGAACAATAACACAAAGGACTACAACTTAGAGGTTGGGGTGGAGGGAAACCTGCCCAGGACTACTGATTCATGAACACCTTTCAATTTATGTTGGTGGGAAACACAATAGTGCAATATAGACAAGGTTTCGGAAGGACACTCCAACATGAGGCCATAGACTGTACATAATCACAAAAGCTTCAAATGATTCTATTTGTCTCTAAAAATCTCTTCAAAACTTAAATGCTGCAGTTTCGAAGAACTTTCACTTCGTTTGAACCACCAAACGTGAAAGAGCTTCATATAACCAATCTTCTATATTCTTAGGAAGAAGGCACAAGGATGCTTTGAATGTGCTACATGAAACACCCAACCCTTTGTAGAAAGCTGCCAATGTAGGAGTAAATGGTCAAATGTTTATGCTTTCTCCATCAATTTAGGTTCTTTTTCTTGAGATCTTTCTTGGGTGTCTAAACTTCCACAATTTGGATTCAAGATGGTTCAGGGTTCGGGCACATCGAGCTCATACTCTTTCCTTCAATGGGACGTCAATCATGCTTGTTTTAGTAATAGCAGTGAGATTCTCCAATATGTTATAATTATAAAAGGGATGTTCAGTAATGATTCTTATAGTATTGTTTGGAGAGTCGATAATATAATTCCTGTATTCCTGTTGATGTGTATTTGCCGGGTACCTTGAAATTGTCTGATATTGTCTGATAGAAAGAAACCAGCAGGCAGAAAAGGACCATTCACAAGTCATTGTAATGAACAGTTTTAATTCTAAATGCTTTAACGATCGACCATCCAACAGAAATGTCCCCTGTTGTCTTATGATTTGAACTACCTGTACCTTGAATGCCTTGTGATTCATGTTTCCATTGGGTAGGAGAAGAAGCTCTGCTTGCAAACTTTTGACCAAATCACACAAAGTTGTCATCTGGGGTTCGGTATCTTATACAATCTGTTTTTCATTTAGAAAATCCAAAAAGATGTTGGTTTGAATTCAATTCCATGAAATTCCCACACACATTGAACGAAAATACTCTAGTTGTTCTTTTTGAAAGTATTATTATGGAATCTAGAAATTATTTCCTGAAAGCACATTAAAGATTAAAAAAAAAAAATTCCCCAATGCCCATTTTCATCTACTTGTGAGCTGCATTTACGTTGACAAACAGACCTAGTCTGTCTCATTCTAAGCCACCAGGTCAGCTGTAAATTCATTGGCAATGATGATTCACACTCTGCCTGCTTAATCTTATTCTTGTACAATGAAATGAGACAATTTTCAGTTCTACCAGACTGTGGATACTACTCTTATTCAATGTCAATCATGTTAGTATTATTTAAGAACGAAGTGGAGTATTAGAAGAACTATTTACAAAGTAAAAATTATAGCATGAATCAAGGTGTAAGTAAGTACTACAGAAAGTGGATGAATCGATCCCATTAAATATCTTACACCTAATTGATGGCGAATGTCAACTCAATAAAGTCATTGCAATGATTTCCCCTTTCTTAAAATAAATACATCCTCTTTGGAAACCTAAACCAAAGAAAATCTAGCTATTTTGTGACCATATTGTATGGTTTCAATTTAGTCAAGCAACAAATCAAATCGATATACAACTATTTCTTCAGCATCATTTAATGATCATCAAGGAAGCATTTATGTAAATGGAGGGCATGGTTTTGGTGACAGATGCCTCAAATTGAAGTGGGATGAGGGCATTTGCCCTAAAACTTTGAGTTATTAGAAAGTGAGAACTAACAGACAGGGAAACAATAGCACTTGTCCCAAGAGGTAATCCAGCATTGGTCATATTGACTTAAATGTCTCAAGAATTCAAACCTTCTGGTGAGTTTAATACCAAAACCCTTAATGTCTTTTAGGTCCGAACCTTAGGGCGTGAGCGGGTGTCCCTAGGTATAGAGGGATAAAGCATCAACTTCCAGTTATAAAAAAAATGGTATAGAGGGACAAAGCATCAACTTCCAGTAATAAAAAAAAAATGGTACTCTAACAATATAAAATATCAGATAACAATATTCTGTTGTGGTTTGTTCATAATTTGTAGATGTATTTCATTCTTCTAAGTAGATGACCAGAGAAAGAAAATCCAGTGCTTTGAAAATTTTCTAGTACTACGATAGTACCTACTTATTCAATTCACAATCGGACATATTATTTTATTTGATATACTCCATGTCATTCTTACACTATGTGGTAAACGATGAATAGTAGTATGAAAAATTTTCATACTACTATAATACTAGAAATTTTCTCTTTTTATAGTACGTAGTCCATAGAAGTGTTACGAGGAAGAGGATCCTATCGATATTATAGGTAACTCTTGGTTATTATTTGGTAACAAACCCTAGGACAGGTGATGGGTGACGAATTATTATAAAATCATACTACAGAAGACTTCAGTAGTTAGTACAAAAGGAGTAGTAAGAGCTTTTATTGGTTGTGATATTCACTGTCAAACACTTGGATAGCTGTGGGCACAAGGATTCCACAGCATTTCACTATTCTCATTAACAGCATTTAACCAACCAGGCAACCATATGCTTCGACCCGCATTGAACGCCGGGCCGCTTGTTGAAGATAAAAGTACATCGAACCCATATTTAATGCCTTAAATTATGGCTAGGTTATTTTGGTTTAGGACATTAAATTCAGCACCAAACTTTTTTTTCCCTCTCTTTGATTATTTGCTTTCTGCATTAGATAAATCCTTTCCCATAAAGCCAATTTTTATTACTGTGTTTAGTACTCGATGTAACTAATGATGTGAACCTATGCTTTTGCACTCTCAAGTGACTGCCTTATAGGTTGGCCTAGTAGTCCAATGAGTATAAGGCTTGAAAAATAGGTTCAAACTATAAATTTCCTTGGCAACCAAATAGAGTAGTGTTTAACACTTGTCCCATGAGAATAGTCGAGATGTTCTCATGTTGACCTAGATATATATATATATATATATATATATATATATATAACTGTTTGAAGAAGCAAATTTGTAACTCAAGAAACCATGCTTTTCTACCATGTCTTTTTCCACATTTCCAACCTATCTTACAAAGTTGTGTTGGTTTATCTCTAAACAAAGTTCCTCATTCACAAAACTAAAGAACTTTTTCCTTTTTAATAGAAGCAAATAGCTCAGAAAGGTTTGGACTTTGCTCAGGGTATTCCTTTTTTCAYGAGGAAAAGTTAGAATCTCACTTTTCTAGGAGCTTCCCAATTAAAGAAGCATTCAATTAGCCAAATTCTAGAACATCCCATTTGGATTTGGGTGTTTCTAAAAACTTGAACAAGTGGAGTGGAGAGAGAAGGCCTCTCTCTCTCTCTCTCTTATTAAAGTAGTTTTGAAATCTTTAATGGTGGCCATGAAATTGAGCTCACAAAGCTCAGCTGTGTATTTAAACTCCTCCACAGGAAATGGATGGCAGTGGGAACATTACGTGTTTGAAAGTAATTTGCTCTGTATATGCTGACTTGTCAATCTTTAAAGTGTTTGAAAATAATTTGTATATAATGAATATCTATTACCATGGTTAAAATATTTATCTCTTCGTAGAAGATCGTGAGTTCGAATACTCACCTCCACGTGTTGTATTAAAAAAAATTTCGTTTTACATTTTGATTTCTATATAGGACTTTTTATTTTTAACAATTTCTATCTTGTTTCATTTGACAGCATAGCAGTAAAGAGAATCACAATTTTCATATGATTCTCTACGTCTTCTCTAATTTACAAAATTTTAAAATCACACCCTTTTATCATAATTGTCTAAAAAATCTAGGGAAAAAAAAATATATGTGTAGCTCAACTAAAATCAATCAAAAGATCGAAGATACAAATCTATACTCCCATATATAGAGGTGGTCATGAGATGAGTTGAGTTGGATTGAATTATTTTTTAGACCAAATTCAATTGTTTTATTTATTCAACTTAGACAACTTAAATAATGAACTCAAATATTGCTTGCATGACCAAAAAAAAATAATAATAAAAGTAAATACTAATATCTCAATATTTATTTTCTTATTTTTTAACATTGAATAGTGTGAGTCAATATTTATTTATGTAGTGAAAAGTTTTTTTTTCTTTTAACTTGTTGGAGAACAAATAATCTAAAAAAGTATATATATATATATTGAATGAAATAAAATTAAAATCAGTAGATCTATTCATCTATATATAATATTATGGTAAGTAAAACATTTTCAAATTAATAACAAATTCGAATTAGTTAGGTTGAACCCAAATTTGTTTTAGGCGAATTATTGAACCAATCAAATTCATAGATTTTTTTTTTTTTTGAAGAATTTAGAGGGAATCGGTTTAAATTACTGTGACTATCTTAGAATTTAATATCCTATGATTTTTTTTTTTGGCAAATGTAGTAGAGTTAGACGGTTGTTCTGCAAAACTAGTCGTGTAAGTGTACTTAGACAAATTTTTAATTATTTGGGTTGATTATGTCTTTCAAATCATTGAGTTTTTTGAACACTTTTACCTAAGGGTGTTAAAAAAATCTGATGATCCGCTCAACCCATTTGGTAGTTTGAGTTGGATTATAAATTTGTTTAGGTTGGGTTGGGTTCCAATAAATGAAAGTTCTATGAATTGGGTTGATTCAAGAGTCACTTAAAATACGTCGGGGTTGAACTAAATCAACCCGGACTTATTATTTATTTTAAAACTATTTATTTTACTCACCATAAAAATTATATATATATATTTTTTTTTATTCAATAATTGTTTATGAATTATTTATTCTGTAACAACTCTTAAAAAACAACTTTTTAAAGTTTTGGAGGGTACTTTTTCACCGTTTAAATAAACATCAAATAAAAAATCTTGATTTAATGTTAGACAACATATAAATAAATGTTTGAGATAATATCATTTACTTTTTTTGTTATACAATATGTTGATGTCGATTTCTAGACAAGTGTCATGTCAGCCCCATGTAGCTGCCACGAATTCCATGTCTCCAAGGCCTTGGTTACCTGCACTAAAAAATCTAGTACCGGTGTGGTGCTTTGTCGAATGTACTCCAATGCTTAAATTAGAATTTAGGTTGAGAGCACAGAGTATAGAGCAAGTAAAGTAGAGAGGACAATAATCTCGAGAGTAAGCACTGAATTCTCACAATGAGTTGTGTAGGGGAAGACGACTTACCTGGATTACAGTTACTCTTTTCCTTATATACGGAGATAGAGGCTTTAACATGTGTGAGGCAGACACAAGGAGGAGATAGAGGCTTAAAAAATCTGCCCCTGGCCACTAACTATCCTTGGTACGGAATATTGAAGCGTGCTTGGTCTCTAATGGTTCTTCTTTGACCCAACTCATGTTGAATGGACTTTGGACGCGTTGCATCTCAATTTTACCCAATAACACAATACTTTGAATAAGTGACTCGAATTAYCCAAATTAACCCAACCCAAAATATTTCATGATTAGATTTATTATAGGGTTAYGTAGGTTGAATAAATTCATAACTCTGAACAATTGGTTTGTTTTTTTTTACTTTTAATAATAAATTATGGTTGAATCAAGTAAAGAAAGAAAAACTTAAAACTTCAATTTATTGACATAAGAGTGAGAGCTTCATCCTTTTAAAGTCTTCAAATTCTAATTAGTACATCCTACCTGAAATTAATTCACATATCGAACAAAATCTTAAAAACTGTCTACTACGTCCAAACTCATCTCAATTTACACAAATTTTCATTGCTTTGACACTCTTATTTGAACTTTTGATTTGCTCAATAACCCTATAAAATAGTAAAATCATCATCCAGCAACAGAAAAAATAGAGATGAAAAAACTTCAAGCTATAAATAAATTAAAGATAAAAATATACTCACTGTCAATGTTACAACTCTCATAAAGACAAAATCAGATGCAAAAGAGCAGATAATCAGACATTAATATAGGAAAAGGAAAAGCATTCTTAGTCTATTCAAACCCAAAAGGGGTCACAGAATGGGAACACCTATACTGATATTTGGGACCCCAGGCCCCTGCTTGAGGCTCCTCAGCACAAAAATTAAAGCCTGAAACTTCAGCCTTTGCTTCTTACATTCTTCCAATAGTATAACATACATGAATCATATATTTGACGAGGACGACCCGCAGTCATATGGAAGAAACCAAATATCTTCAAAAAGGAGAAACTAATCTATAACCAGCTCCCTTCAACCTACTCTTCCTTTGAGCGACTGGAGTGCCCGGCACCGGTCTCTGTCGAAGTCACTCCTGACGAGGCRGTAGATGTCAAGTCGTTGCTAGAGCTGTTCTGGAAGCCTTTTGATGCTAAAGCAGGGTTGTTCTGAGGATCAGCAGTTGCAGGCCTCTGTTGTCCTTCTTCTGCTAATTTCTTAAGAAGATTCATGATAGTGGGTACAAATGTGGAAGACAATGAAAGCAGCCCTGGGAGCTGGAAGTACATAAAATAAAACATCAGATTCCTTTCATAAATGGACTTCATATGGAAATATTGGGGGCTATTTATTTTTCTGTTCATCTGGATCATTATTTATACAGTGGCATTAAAATAAACTTATTCACCCTTTTGAGAGTTTATTTCCTTTTAAATATTTGTTGTTTCTTTGCATTATATCAATGAGAAGTTCATATATCTTCATCAGAAAAGATAAGAATGATATATAAAGAGAACAAAATTCATGAAACCAGGCCAAGGGAGTCAGTAAATGCTTTTGAAGGCAGTACCACAAATAATTCTAAGCAGTTAGTAAAGGCACCAAGAATGCTGATAACACGCCCCAACACAACAAAAATAAGACTTGATACTTACAATACCATTGCTAAATTGCCCGGAAATATCTAGCTGCACCCACAGGGCTTTGGCGAGTAGATAGAGAACAAATATGACGCCCAAATATAAAGGATTTCTGTCCAAAGGGGGCAAACGAGAACTTAGAAACCAGGGTAAGATCTAGAATTTTATAATGCAGAAAATATCAACACATACCTTAGAAGCGTCATGAACTCATTAAATCCTAGAATCAGCATAGCAACAATTGCCCATGGGGGGGGCAACCAGTTATTACTACGCTTGCTAGCTTCCTGCAAGTATGATAATGCTTGAGATACATAGGAACAAAATATATCGCCAAACAAATGGAAAAGATGCAATATATGTGCATTTTAAATATTGATCAACTAATACTATCTACTATATTCCATATACAACATAGAAAGGACCCAAAAACTGAACTTAGTATCAAGTGTGAAATAGTGAAGTGCTAACTAGATTTCCTTGAAAGAAAAAATGAACAGGCTGTTGATTAGGGTTATGCTATCCCAATGAGGCCATGAATCATCAAACTCTGGATTCAAAATAGATTTTTATAATGTATGGTATATATTACAAGTCAAACCCCAAAATTGTCATAGAATTCATTCTGGAAATCCCTCTAAAATCTTGTAACTGCAAATCAATAAATATGTGACTTGTCTTCCCAATAGTTGCAGCAAGATCTACATCCAAACCCACATTTGATCAACACAACCATTTGAATAAATTAAACGCAAATGGCCACAAGGGGTGGGGGCTCAAGGAACCCGCCTGACCATCCAAAAAGACTTTTAAGCCTATCTTTGACAATTTTCAAATTTGCAACTTGAGGACAATGGCAACATCCTCATTGTCATAAAGCCACCACCACGTAAGACTCCAGATAAAGAATCTTATTCAGATACAAATTTAGTACTAAGATCCAATCTATCTTTAATTAAAATAATCACGATTGGATTGGGAACAAAAATTCCATACCTTTGCCTCAATACCCAAACAATCTAATAGCAAAAAAGAAAACGGGTGTTCATTGTAAAGAGAAATCACAACAATTTGCTCTTTTTAGGGGAAAAAATAATGTAGCTACTAACTAGTAAAAAGAGATAAAGCAGATATGGCTTAAAATTTTAACTTCATCAAATAATCCCAAGAAAAAAGAACATAAAATATCTCATTTTTTTTAAAATCATTTTTCAAGTTAATCGGTTAAGAAGTTTTATTTCATACCTGTGCAGCAATGGCCTGAGAGACACTGTATTCTGTCTCCATCTTGAATTGCCTCCATATAGATTTGCACTGAACAGGACTAATCAATGTCTGTGATGGTGGAACCTGTAACAGGCAAGAGATGTAAAATACAAGCATATGGGGACAATAGAAAGGCTTGTCTGTACATGAGAAGGAGAAACAMTGTTCAGCCGATCACTCCAGACCAAGACAATGAGTGCTGGTAGAGAACTTGCCAAAGATAGATACTTCTTTGGTAATTCTACTGCCTCCGAAAGAGCCGGAGAATCATATTTGTTTTCATACTCTATGCAACTATAATTTAAAGAGATGGAACCAAAGCCGGAAAACCAGGATTATAAAATACTAACATTTTCCCATGAGCTCGAGGCGAGAGGGTCAGCTGCCACAATGCTCCTATCTTTTGTATTGCTACTGTTCGGGATATTCAGCAAGGAACTTAATAGAGTTTTGTCTATCTCACCGGAATCGTCATCATCCAAACGTAGAGCAGCCATAACAGAGAGCAGCTTCAGGGACTATAACATACAAGTACATAAATTAAATATCTAATTGAAATACAAAGCATAGATAAAAATGTATAAATGGCATAAAATAGGAAAACAAAGACTAATAATGTGTAGTGTTATACAGCAGAACGAGCAGTTTTGGTGATTGCCCGGATATCTTCCTTCCCAGTCCAAACACGTGGCATTGAATCCGCATCATGGCTAAACAACGTAGAAAACCTGTTTGCAATATCAAATAATATCATCAACAATGCATGCCACCTAAAGAAAGCAGGTGCAAAAAGATGTCTCCTAGGACAGTTGATACCTATCCTTCATACGAATCAGGACCCTTCCAGCTTCTTCCCTTGTTTTTGCATCAACTACACCTCTTGCATACTCTTTAAGACTGGTAAGCATTTTGTCCTTGGTTTCTYCATCCATATCATAGCCCACCAGTCCTTTAGACAGTCCAGAGATGGCAGACTCAGTCTCCCGTTGAAGAAGTTTTCTTATGGCTGGCCATGTCTCATTATTAGCTCCATCTAGCAAAGCTTCTACAGGTCCCGACAATGCTTCCTTCAGTTTTTTCTGCAATCGTTGTTATCATTGTCAGTAATGATCATAAGGCAATTGTATGATATCCATCCAAATACAATAGAAATTCCAGAAAATCTACACGAGGAATTCTTCGAGAAAATTTAGCACTTGAAGAAAGCCTTAAAAAATGACCTAAGTTAGAAGTCCAAGATTGGAGCCATAAAACATGAACTTACCTCAAACTTTGCAGAAAGTTCGGATAATTTATCAGCACGAATACAAGCAATGTGTGCATCAATATCACGTTGAAGTTTATCCCTTATTCTAGAAGTGTCCCAGTTTGCTTGCTCAATGACAGCACCTGCAGTGATCACAAGCCAGCATGGATTACAAAATAACAAACAAGACGCACTCTGATCCGTGAGAAAAAATGGGAATATTCCAATAAACTAAAAACGTTTTACACCATATGAAATTGGCAGGCGCCTATTTAACTGTCCTTCACACATGAAAGGCCAGAGGGRAACAACCAAACTAGAAGCATAAAGTCTTTTTCATTCAACCTACCAGCACATTCAACATCAAAAGTGTCCATATAGGTTCGAGCACAATTACTGGAAGCCGAAGAAAATGCTTCCCCTTCATTCAAAGCTTTGTCAAATGCCTCTTTGAACTTATCAAATATCCCAGACCTTATGTGTCCCAACAGCAAGTGGAAGGCTGATTGAACAAGCTAGTTGATGAGGAAAAACTTGTCACAATAGATTATCAAAACAATATATCCAAAGGAAATTTATTGTTAATAGTAATTACACTTCCAAGAAAAATAAAGTATTCAAGTTCAATGCGACAGGAAGATCTTTTTCTTTCTTTTTTCAAGGTGCCAAGTTTTGATTGAGATAAAAATAAAGAAAACAAAGGGGCATACAAAAAGACAGCTCTAACAAAAGCTCAAACTAAACCAAAAGGAGCTCTAATCTAATAAAATAAGTCCCGACGGATAGTTGCAAAAGTCCTTAACTACTGAGGCCAAAGAGAAATATGAAATCTAATGTGAGACCCATCTTTTAATTAGGAAATAGAAGAAAGATCCTCTTGGAGAAACCTTTGGGAGGTTACTTCCACATAATGCATCCGTAAAAACCATTTGTAGGAGTAATTATGAAATAGATTCTATCAATCTTTTAATTTCTTGTAAATTATACAGTCACTTTCAAACAAAAATACTTCGGAGATTTATTACTTGCAACAATTTTTCTTCAAGTTGTGCTCGCTTTGCAGATCTCACACCTTCGTCAAAAAATGTGGCTTCTGCATCATACCTAAACCATCAAAGTACAAAAATATCAATGATGACTAAACTAAGATAGCAATGTTCAATAGGTAATAAATTTACTACGTCAGTTATAGAACACATCAGCATCTCTCCTARGTTGCAAAAGAAGCAAAAAGATCCTTCACATTTTTTAACTTAGACTATGATCAATGTTGCTATAGTTTGACATTAATGCAACAACTATTAGCAATTAAGATACATATTAACTAATATTCAATAAAATCAATAAATGGGGAAGGGAAGAAAAAGAAAGGAAAATTTTTATTTTCATCGTCAAGACATGTTGTTGATACTTCATAAACCAGAAGTATTTCACATCATTAATAATATACACGAGCTACAATTTCCAAGAGATAAATATGTTCACCTCTAAGCCCGTAATGAAATCATTCTTTACAAAACTACCATTAAGGAACTAACAATCATTCATGGGGCAGTATCTTAATCATACTCCATCAGATGAACAATTATCTTATGAACTGGACAAGGAAAAATACTTGATGAGGATAAAAAATGAACGCACAAGTTCCATGGAAACCTTCTGTTACATGACCTTGCCMACCTTTACTAAAATCTTTCAAGGGTAACGTGAACAGAAAATAAATATATAAGGTTACTAGTGTTCACTCAAATGCACCCTGGATAGCTATCAAGACAGTTGTTACATATAAGGACTACTTACTCTGATAGACAAGTATTAATTATCGAACTTAGCTTCTTTCCAAAACCTTGAACTGGGCCGGATTGTACTTCTTCTTCCAAAGTAGACCAGTCCTGATTGGAGTAAATAAATAAATTTTATGGTAAGTTTTGACTGCAGAGTATATTTGAAAGAGAACAAAAATAGTCAAACGTCTGTATATAAAACCTCATTTGATGCAAACCAGGCAAACTTCTCRTTAGCAATTTCTTCGCAACGAACAGTAGCCACCATAACCTGCAGACATGCCATGGATCAAAGTTKAACATTTAGGTATATAATTCCGTGTATGTATTCAGTCACTGTTGTACCTTATGGGCTGGAAGGTCAAGATCCTTGTTTTCCTTGATAACTTTCCAGATTTGCTGAGCACTAAAAGAGAAACCTGAAGCAGGAACAACTCCCCTGCGATCTCCAGCAAGCCCTCCTGGGGCAATAGAATGGAAGAATCTCTGTCTCAAATTTGCAACCTGAATCCCAACATAATAATTCATAAAATATGTTAAGAACATTTCACTAGGAAAATACTATGCTCTGAAGGACACATCTTTTTTGTTTTTTTGTTTTTTTGTTTTTTTGATAGGAAACAAATTTCATTAATGAAATTTAAAAAAAACAAAAAAACAAAACAAAACAAGCCCCATTCAGTGAAGTTACAAAAGACTTCTCCAATTGGATATGAGAGAATTCAAGCGGTAACTAACACTATGAAGGCCACATAATGATCCTATATTGAAGTAGAAGACAAAAAAAATTCAATACTACTTTCAGAAGTATATAAAGAAAGGATAAAATGTTGGGATTCGTAGCTATAATTCCTTTGAATAACCATAACATGTGAACATACAATATCAAGAACAAGTGAACGAGAAAAGCTAAAATAAAATCAAACCTATCCAGCCACCATAAAATGAAACGCTCAAAGCTCCAGCAATTCTCCAGGAACAAGTGAACAATATCAAGAAAAGCTAAAATAAATATAATAAATCGATCTATCCAGCCACCATAAAATGGAATGCTCAAAGCTCCAGAAATTCTCCAGGAAGTGTTTATAGTTAATATTTCAAGTCTCTTTTACTGTTATTTGGTTGAAGGGGCGGAATGAAACAGATTAATTTTCATATGAATAGTCAATAGAGAGTTGCACGAAATCCATATACCTGCTCCCTGAATTGCTCTTCCTTTTCTTCAAAACTAGATAAAGCAACAACTTCAACCTGGTAATTCAAAAKAAATCAACATAAATCTTCACAAAATTCAACTTCCTCCTATGAAAATCCATTTGACAAAAATTGAGGACTCACATTAAAAAATTCGCTTAATGGGGTTTCCTTGTGGGCTTGTGGCTTAGGAACAGAGTCCCATATCTGCAGTCAAAATAAAGGTGGAGAAATGAAAATGAAGAAAATATGAGTAATACTTTCTGGGCATCATAATTCAACGATTAAGAAGAAAGCACCAATAATTTACCTTCTGCACGTCCTCCCTAAGAACAGGCTCTAAATTTTCCAGTGGTGTCTATATATAGGAAAAAATGAACAACAACCAACAAAGAATGTAAGAAAAATTAAGATCTTGAAACCAGAGGATCATCAACAAATGAGTGAAAATATGAACCCAGAAAATATAAACAGACCCTTGTTTTATCACGTATGACAAACATTAGCGTTGTTTTACGCGGACTGAACAATCTCATCATGACCTGCATACCATTAAAATGAAAATTTTCAAAATAATTATTATAGGAGATACACCATGTCCCAAGTTCAACCAGATTCAAGACAATACCTGAAATACAGTTTTGAGGAGAGGTTTATTTGCCGCCTGCTCACGGCCAATATCATGACACCACCTAAATCAAATTATAACAACTTTTAAAACTAGATAATGTGGAAACGAGTAACTTTAAAAGAAAAGGCATGCAGCAACACATGTTATAAGGTCAAACAAATACCAGAACAACAAAACTTTAAAAAAGACCTCACATGTTTATTAGCACTATATCCGAAACAGCAAGTGCAAAGAGGGCACTCTGCTTCTCAAATGCAGTGTCATCCTAAAAAAGAACATGAAAAAACCGCATAAGAAACAATCAAAGATTACATCTACGTAGTTATGATACAAATGAAGAAAATACTTAACAATCGAGAAAATCTAAATCCAAATAAAAATCAATCAATTTTCACATGCAACTTGATTCTTTTTAATTAAAAAACTTCATTCATTGATCAATATGATGAGAAAGAGCAAAAAAAGATGAGAGAGGGGGGAAAGGTGGGCAGGGACTATTAATCCTCTTAATGCAAGAGCTTATAAACTGGCTTGAAAAGAAAAGGCAGAATAATTGGAAAATTTTAGTCAAATAAGCCCATCTAGAGAACTTTAAATTTTCAAAAGCCAAAGCTTAAAGGGCTTGAAGGAAATCACAAATTATGCAAGGAATACACCAATTCAAGTCAAATTGAAGAGAAATAAAGTAAGCTTTCAAGTAGAACCAACTAGTAAGAAAAGCATGTCCTTGGTTATCATAGTTATTCATACAAAGTACATGCCGACAAGGAGAAAGACAAACGTCAGGATTCTTTCTTTTGGCATGGTCTAGGCTAGGGTATGGGCTCTGCCTTAAAAAGAGGGGAAATGAAGAATCCCATGAGTCTAGGACCCTTTTGATTCCAGATACACTCAGCTAGGTACCCAGGAATTAAGTGCTGTCTAGCAGATGATTGAACATAGATTGCAAGATTATGACCCGGAGCTTTTCAAAATTCAGAAGGTTTTCTAGTTGGTGATGAAGTCTTCAATAAGTTGGAGAGGCCCTCCCCGTAAAAGTCCCTAAATCTTTGATGAGTTTATCAAACTTTGACAGGGAATAATGATATTATTTTAAATAACAAAGGATCTTTGTTCTCTAAAATAAGAGRCATGTGATAATAGTGAACTCAAAATATGAACAAACACAGCCATGGTCATTAAAAAAATTAAAAATAAAAATAAATAAAAAGGGGAAGAAGAAGAAGAAGAATGAAAGAAGAAACAAGCAAATGAAACACATTAGTAACCGAAAAAGAGGCACAGAAATGCACCTCTCCTCGCTCTCTTCCATCAGTTCCCTCCAAATCCATTACTAGTGTACAAGGCTCAATTCCAGCACATCTAGCCAACCATATACCTTTAGTTGTTTGAGACCTAGAAAAGGACATATCAGTTCGCACTTTTCCGTTGTCAAGCCCAAATAAACTAAATACAGAAGGGTTGTTTCTTATCTAAAAAAACAAGAACATAAGGAGGCAACAATAACTTACCTCCCTTTAAAAGCATCCATCTCTCTAAAGTTGGTTCCAAACAAGTTGTTTAGCAATGTACTCTTCCCTAATCAGATTATCCAAAAAAATACGAAATTCTCAAGAGAAGACCATAAACCACTACGGAAATATCCAAATGTAGAMCGTGATGGAAATTAATAATGTATCTGTCCAATACAATACTTTTAGTTAAAATATCCAAATGTAAATGAATAACTATGACAAATTAAAMTTACCAGTTAAATACAGAAGTAGAACACCAAATTCTTAAACAAAAACCTCACTGATAAATTCAGAATCAATTCAGATAACTCTCTTGATTTAAAATTTATCACCCCCACCCCCACCCACCCCCAAAAAGATAATGATACGACAAGCTTCTAAAAGCAGACTACTTACCACTACTTTGAGGGCCCATGATGGATACTACTGCATATGAAAGTCCACATTCCCCCAATTTCACATCTTTGATAAAGTTATCAATTCCAGTGTCGTTGAATCCACCATCTCCATCTATAAGCTGAACAGAGGAACTTTCATCGCTCTTAGCTGCCAGAAGAGAGTAACTTTTGCTTAGTAGAACCTCGTAATTGTAGAAACAGCAAAAAGATAGGYAAATCGATCAAATAAAACCCACAAGCCAAATTTGGGCATGACGGCAAAAATAGAACTCTTAAAGTAGACCGCTATAATAATGCCCCTGTCTAGCATTGACATGAGGTAACAACAATGCACTCGGATTTCCAGAAGAAGCCGAACAAAACTGATCCATGATCGCTTCTTATACGTGACAACAAGAAAATAGGAACCAGAAAAATTAAGATATCCATACAGGTCAGAACGCATCTATATATTATACTCGACTCGACCAAGATAACACACAAGCCAGATATACCCGAAATCCATACAACCCAAATCCCATTAGCCAGGGTACGAACTTAGATTAGAAAGAAAATTCAAAATGATAAACGTCTCATTCTAGAATCACCCTACACCCTTAGAGACGAAAAAGTTAATTTTAGTCAGCGATCTAATACTCCGGCGGTCCAAAACCATATCGAATAGCATGATCAATTCCAGATTTGGGGCAAATCAATCACGCCCAAATCGAGGTAGCTCGAATCCTTATATTAGCAAACACGCGCGGGTAATGGGTAAAATCAAACTATATCCGGACGTTATATCTCGCAGCCAGTCTAATTACAAAAGTGAAATTAATTACACTGGGGATGCTTCAAAGTAACGTAAATCAAACAAAACGTAGAAATTAAGCTGGGGGAATGAGAGATGGATCATCGCACACGCAAATTAAATAAAAACCAGATAGAGATGAGAAAACCGTACCCATTTGGAAGAAGGGGGAGGCTGATGCAGATTGGAAGCTGGAGAAGATTGCAGAATGCGTGAGATCGATTGAGAACGGAGAGAAATGAACAGATCTCAGGAGAAAGGAGGGGCAAACCTAATTGAAAGTGGATGATGGAGATGGAGTTGATCTTCGAAAAGCAGGCTTGACTGTCTCTGTTGTTTGTTCCAATTACAAATGCCGAAAGAACGAGAGGAGCGAGCGATAAATATTTGAAGGGCGGAAATAAAATTACCAGAAAAAGAGAGGACCCCCCCTTAAAAAATAATAATTAATAATAATTTTTTACTTCGATGCCACGTCATTAATTCCCTCCTCCAAGAAATGTTGTTGATTTTATTTTTTTTTAATAAACTCAATTCTAACTTTCAAAAAAAAAATAATAAATTGAATTCTTCAATAGAGGCGCTAGCCTATTTTATTGGTTAAAATACAAAAATTTGTTTGTTGGAAAATATTTCTATCATTTCCAAGTTTTCAATACTATTGTTGAGGTTTCTCTTAAAAATACCTTTGAACGAATATCCAATAATGTTTTTAACGGAAAATTGGATAATTAACATTAAATATTATCTAGATTAAGATGAAATGCAGAATAATGAATCGTTTTTAAAGCAAAATTGAGTACACGATGATTAAGTGAATTTTATTCACAATGGATCAAGAAGATATTTAAGGTAAAATTTGGACGTATGTGACACATCGGAAGCATTTAGAAAAAGTAGAGATTAGTACTAAAACCTGGATTTTTTTTTTTAATAGAGGGGCATTTGTTTGTTAAATTTAACCTCTATTAGGTTTTGAAACACGTATTAATTACAGTTGTGCTAAGTTCATGTTGCGGAAAATTGAATTTTTCATATCGTATATAATTTTTCTTTATATAATTCAACAAGAGAGTTATAAACTTTAGATTTTTTAAAAGGTAAATAATGTATTAATTAGTCTAATTCTACTTCGATTAACTAAAATATTGTTTGGTTAACCTGTGAAATCAAGTTATTTATGAAGTTAAAATAATATCATAACACATTTATTTAGCCCTTTTTCCATGATTTTGTATTGTAATTTATGTATGTGACTTTTCGTTTAATTTGTATGGTGCTTTAATTTTTCAAATATTTCTAACTAATTATATTTAAGGGAACTTTTACATTTAATCTCTAGCATGCAAATTTCATTATATTAAGTTTGAAATGGTATAAAATAATAAAAATAATAATTTTAATAACATATGACAATAGAGATTCAAACCATATTAATTTAGGTATAGCTCATGTTTTAACCATAAATTCAAAATTGATCAAAACATTTAAAATTTTCAAGAACACTCGAAGACGGTAAGTGATTTACAAAATAAGGGTTAGCACTCTGAAGCTATTGTCTGTCCACAATTATAAAAATGCAAAATCTCACTCTGAAATGTCTACGTACCTCTCCCACGTTATTTATGGGTATTTTTATTTGAAATTGTGGATAACTGTTGGAGTTGTGGGTCTCTTCATAAAGTTATATTCAAGATTCTAGTTGTGAAATATGCGTTGAGGTAGAAATACATTTAAACGGTTATGTTTCAAACGCTATAGATTAGTTCGGTAACCTCCCTGGGTAGTTTTGTTGCTCATGATTTCCGAACTTACTTTGTGGGAGTCACACGTGAGATTAAACCAGCAACATAATAATGTCGATCTTCATCAGTCCAATTGGTCAAGGTATTTATCTCTTACTAAAAGTGAGTTCGAATCCTCGTCCCCACATATTGTACCAAACAAAATAGATTCGAACCATTGACTTTTTTTTGTAATATATGTCTTCAATTCGGTTTGCGTGTATAATAAATAAATATATTTATTTATTGTACACGAACAAACTTGAAATTCGAACTCACGATATATTAATCAAAAGTAGATGCCTGAACCAATTTAGCAACGCTGATGTATTAGCCTTATATCATCCCTTCTAATTCTAGTTGAAGGTTGATTTTTTTTTTTTTGAATAATGGTTCATTTAGTTAAAATGGTATGTATCTCGTTTAAATACTATTTTTAAATTATAATTTCGGTTATGCCTTATACTTTCAAAATTTTTATCAATTTGGTCTCAAATTTTCAAAAAGTTCATTTTGGTCTCTATATATTTAAAAAGTGATCATTTTATTAATTTTACTTTATTTATCTTGTTTTTCTCGATACTATACTCAATAAATTCATTTAAATATGTCATAACTCTACATTATAGGATTTATTTGTATATAGATTTTATGTTAATTTTTTTAATAGGGACTAAATTGTCATTTTTCAAAATTATTGAGATCAAAACAAACCTTCTAAACGTAGAAAAACAAAAATGAACCAAAGTTTAAAATATATAAACTACACCTTATAAGCATATGAACCAAAATAATAGTTATACACAACTTGTATAAGTTGAATCCCACCACACTGTGTAATATTATATATTGGTTTAGTAAAAATTTAAAGTTCTAACTGCTAATCAATGCCCAACCTGAGCCTATGTCAACCAATTAAAACACATCTAAACTAATTAATGTTTGTTTATATATAGATTATTTATTTATTATTATTATTAAAGTTTTAATCTATTTATCAGTTATTTAAAAAAAAAAAATCTTTACCAGTCTAGTATCCAACGTTTGAGAAATTCACATTTTTGTCTTTCTCAAAAAAATAAAAATCACATTTTTGTCTTAATTTTCTATCCAATTTTCCTACAATCATTCAATTAGTAAAAACTAAATTACAGTCTATCAAATATTTATTTAACTTTCATGCTCAACTATTAAAAAAAAACTTTATTTTGAGCTAAGGTATCGTTTCTATTTGTCATACCTCATTTTTTTTTAACAAAGTAGGGAATTGATATGACTTTCAAAATAATTGGGACTTGAAAAGAAAATAGATGGATGAAGTAAATTAGTATTTGGTAAATTTTAATTTTAAGGATAAAAAAGTAGTTTATAATATCTGATAAATTAATACTAAATTACTGTGATTTAGTTATAGTGATTAAACTAGATGTACAAAAATGGAGGAAAAAAAAAGATTTGAAAAGTCCAAAGCATCAAAACGAAATATGATAAATAAACGGCGCGGCTGGCTGAATTATCGCGGTGAATTAAAAGAAAACTAATGAAGGGGTAAAAGCGTAAAATCGGAAAAGAAACGCGATGGGCCCGACCCGACGGAGTGGCGATGTGGGATTTTGATGGTGGGGCCCAGGGGCCAGGATTAGCCAACGCAAAGCGTGGGGTCCACCGGCCGCCCATCCCGACCGTGGGCCCAGCGCTAGAAGAAAAAGGTTGGACGGTGGGATCCGTTCAACCATTTAGAGCGCCACCAGCAGCCGTCCATGGGGTGGACTTTGCACGTGCGCCACCACACTCCAGCGTGTTTTCATTTTTGGTTTCAACTTTCTGGAGGGGAGGAATGTTGAGATTGAGATTTTTTTTTTTAATTTTTCGAAACTATTGAGATTTAGATTTTGTATAGTTATATATATAACGTATAAATTGCAATTACTTTGAAATAACAAAAAACAAAGTTATAAATTAGACTGCTCCCAATAAAAATGAAAAAGAAAAAGAAAAATGAGAGTCACGATGCAGCATATAACTTTTAATAATAAATTAAATTATACTAAAAACAAGCATAGTTTAGAGATAATTAACCTCTGCCCCAATCAAATGGTGGATCTCACCCTACTCCTTGTAAATCTAAAGTTAGCTCTTAAATTTTTAGGATTGCATCTAATAACATCTTTTAAAAATATTTAATATTTAATAGGTCTAATTTGATATGCCTACCCATTAACATTTTTTTAAATCTGCAGGTCTATAAACCACAAAATTGAAAGTTTAAGATTCAATTGGACATAAAATTTAATTTTATATCTAATAAATTCATTAATTTAAAAAAAATGTTGAATAACAAAATTTAAGTTTAGAGACATATTAGATACAAAATTAAACACTTTTTAAATTCAAGGACCTATTTGACAAAGCTAAAAGTTATGAACAACTTGTAATTGAACCTATAACTTGCATCAGATATTCAAATTCTCAACATTCTATACATATATGCAGGCTTTTCAATTCCCTACAAATCTCAAGTCAAATGGCCATATAACTGTGATGGCAACATGTTAGTCCAAGGCTTCATTGACAACCATCTCAGTTTGAAGAGGACGATTCAATATAAGAGAGTAAAAATAGAACTGTTCTAAAAAAATGGTAGTGGATGAGCCAAACATCCCTATTGTTTAGTTAGAGTGGCAAAAGGAAGAGATATATATATATATATATATATATATATCAAACTAGAGACTTAATCACTCTTTCATGAACTAGAAAGAGGAAAACCAAAGTTCATATCTTTCATGTTCATCTGTTCTACAAGCTTGAAGGAATGCATAAAATCTGAACCAACAAATGAAAAACAAACTCTTCATTACAATATGATAACTCACTGTGTTCATGTTCTAGTTGTTCTATCTCACATTATATTTGGAATTATAGATCAGTCAAACCACACCCTCATATAAAATTTACCACAAAACAAATCCAGGATTATCAAGAAACAAGCTTCGCCAAAAGCCATAGTAGTAGAGAATTAACAACTTCTCGTCAATGCTTGCATAATTGAGGACATGGAGCAATGTAATCACTAGATTAGCTAAAAGCCGTAGAGAATTAAAAGAAAATCGACTTTCAAGCTGAAGACGGCGCAAATGCAACTATCAAATATCAAATAGAGATAAAAAGGGGGAAAAACATGGACCAACAACGATGTAATAAACTTTTATACTCTTCCGAACAACCATAATAAATAGAGTGCTATATAAATGAATTAACAAGCAGTAACACCATTTAACTCCTTGTCGCAAGGGACAAAAGAAAGAAGGGGATAAAATCATCTACTTACTCATTCATGCCATCGTCTTCATCTTGTTCACTTAAATCAAGATCTGCAAGCAACTCCTCAAGAGGTACAGAAGGTCCATCCTCCCCATCAGTCATTTCGGACAGTTGGTATTCTCTATTTCGGTACAATGATATGTTGAACCTTAAATCTGGATTCTCTTCCAAATCTCTCAAAAACTGTTCATACTCTGAGTTCATCTTATCTTGATCTACTCTACCTTTATCGTCCACATCCATGTCAAGAGATTTAAGCTTCCACGCTCGAGGCTTTCCACGCTTTCTCTGACGCTTTTCTTCGTAGCTTTTCTTGACTAAAATTGCTTCGGGGAGAACAAGGCCCTTATATTTGTCTAGCTCCATATCATTACTATTGGCTGCATAAAGATCGTAACCAAGGGCATAATCCCCGGGGTTTAAAATATGACCTAGATGTGTTCTTATGGAGAATATTGTGTCATTCCTTCCAAAATCTGATACACGAGCTACTTGAGCATCGGCCAAAACATATTTTGAACCTCCCACATTGACTTCAGCAGAAACATTCTCTATATCCAATATAATATACTCCACAAGTTGCCGGCTAGTAAGTAGAGACCTGAACGATGTCCTCCAATACTGATCAGCATCCAAGAAGCAGTGTCTCAAGGTGAATGGATCGAGTAAAGCAATGGAATTTGTAACTTTAGTGCAAATGACAAGAGGACCAAGATTGCCCAAACTAACAGCAACTTTAGGAGGCAAGCATATCAAATCCTCACGACATATAGGGCATATCTCAACAGAGAAAGTGTGCTTATGGTTGTGAATGTTACTCTTAGGATCGTGAGAAACAAGTTGTTTATCGTGGCGGCTCCTGATTGGAGCAACCTTTCCAACAAATTCCACAAACTTCACACCATGACTCCTATTAGAGAAGAAGAAGTCAATACCTTGATCCATCTGCTTGATCCTTATGGCACTGGCGGCAGCACCATGCTTTAGTATCAGTTGCTCCAAGAAGAAGAATGTTCGCCGGTGAGGGACGTGCTGCCTGAGTTGAACAGAAGCCACCCACTGGTCAGGGTTAGCCTGGACCCTTGAGCAAGATTCACACATGTGATCCTGTACAACGTACTCAGCAACATACGATTGTTCGAGAATTGCTCCATTCAAGACCTCTTTCTGAACCTTCAACTTGACCTTGATCCTCTTGGAATGGGGTTCAGTCCAAACGAATTCAGCATGTACCAGTTTAACCTTATTCAAATTTTTTAGTCTTTTGATGCAGAATGTCAGTAGTTCCTTTGATTCTAATTGTGCTTTAATCCAAGTTCGGGGTGGCTGCAAGTAACTCTCACAATCCGGACAATGCATGATGGTCAATTGCTTCTGTAGACCTTCTGTGATATCAACTTCAGAACACAAACACTTCACACACATATTGGCAGCATTTGGCGCCATGGGAATTCCACATTTGCAACATAGGACACTGCCTATGGTCTGCTGAACCGCAAACAATCCTGCTTCTCCAGCCATAGTTTACACCTACAAATTAAGAACCAGCAGTAAGTTGAGTCCTAAAACATTTTAAAAAGCAAGTATATAATTTTGGAGAAGATTTGGAAAAGAAAAAAATCCAATCTATGACCAATATCTCATTCTCCAACGTACTCCCAACATGAAAAGAAAGTGATTTTGAGTTTTTCAAATCTTAATTAATATATTAGCCTTCACAAGGAAAATTGCCTTATGTATACTTTTACGTTTTCATTCATCTTTTTCGCGACTAGGTGAATCCAGGTTGATTCTTTGTTGATTATATAAAATAAAAAAAGACAACAGTTTCAAATAGAGACAGAGATGTAGGCAAGCTATTGATACAATTAACATGAAGCACAAAATAAGAATGAATGATTTCAAAAACTAAAAAGGAAATAAAATCTTTGAGCTATCGATCAAGTAGCTTCGCAAACGAAGATATCATATGGCGCAAATATGAAAATTAGTTTACCTTGAAGGAGACGCTGATCAGGGCGATGCGTAAGAGCGTAAGAGAAGAAAGTTAAAAAGGGTCGGCGTAAATAAGGGCTGCGGTGGCAAAGGAAGGAGCTTTGGTTTTAAGGGTCTTCAGTTATCAAATTATAATACAAAAAATTTGGGAAATCCGTTTAATATATGCCTATTTTTACCCTAAACATTTTATATTGTTTAGAGCCTTTTAAATCAAAGGACATACAATACAAAGCATATATACTACTCTTATTCTCAGTAATATCAAATTACTATTAATGATAGGTTAATCTGAGAGAGAACTTCAACTTTTTTCCGTCAAAAAAATCAATCTTCAACTTTCACAAAAGGCGCATCTTCTTCTTCAATACCATAATTTTGATCTAAAAATTCATTGAAACCAACTATAATCTACGAATATGAATATGTCGAGGTTGTTAACACAACTCCTAATTTGAGTCGTTCATGAGAGAAGAAAGACGTACGTCAGATTGGGGAAATACCAGTGCAAACTGCGAGAAAGAGGCGGCGGCACGAGCTGGATATATACGACGGCGATGGCACTGAGCGGGAGAGACGGCGGCGGCGGCGGCGGCACTGAGCTGCTAAAGGGGAGGGGGAGCCGGCGAGGAGAATAAGGTGGGAGCACGGTGAGAGGGAGAAAGATGAAAGGGTACCTAGGGTTTTTCCTTCTTTTATTTATTTGACGATCTCCTTTTCTACATCGGTAACTTAATAATTTAACAAGAAGTTATAGAAATTAAATATAATTTTTTTTACGCAAAAATAATTTTATTGATTTAATTAAATTTAACACTTAACAAAAGGCAAATATTAAACTTGAGATTTAAAATTTGAAAATATCCGGAAAAACAAGTTACGAATATTAAAAAAATTAACAAAAAAATTAACGGGGCAGAATTAATTTTAAACCTTTTATTTATGATTTTTTAAAATTAATGGTCTGAAATAGAAGTTACTTGCGTCTTTTTTTTAATGTACAACATTGAAATTTTCAACCTTAGAGATTTATATCAATTATCAAATCAGGATCATTTTGGTATATACAGATTACTTGTGTTATTTATATATTTTTAAATTTAAATATAAATATAAATATTATTTTGATTATGTATCTTTCAATTTTCTTTATTTGAATAAACATGTGGGATGATGATCGAATTCATAACCTTATGTCAAGGTATTCGATTTGACAGTTAAAAAACGATTAAGTTAGTCCCTATCTGTAAATTTAACACAAATTTTATACATAATATAAACCTTTTAATACAAAATTATGCTACATTTTACAAAATTTAGTGAGTGAAATGTGGATGAAGTAGCATAAAAGTAAAAATATATAAACTAAAATCCTCCCATTTTAAAAAAAATAAGATTGAACTRGATATTTTGAAAGCATCATTTATATAATAACCCGAAAAATTAAAAATATATGTAGTAAAATAGATCTAAAAAACACAGACATCCCAAAATTAACAAAAGCCAATATTACATCTCAATGTAGCATTTAAATATTTTAATTTTCTTGGAAAAAAATAATTTAAATTTTACATTTATTTATTTTTCTAACACCGCCCTTGACAAGATCTTCCCCATTCTCGAGAGTGGAACTCCTATCGCTCAACCCTGAGGGTCTCCGTCACTCCGATCGTCGCCGCCGAGAGCTCCTCCGCACTCCGTCCGTCGGAAAATGAAGAAGGTCGGCAAAGTCCCGGCACCTTCATCAAATCTCACGACCGTTTTCCTAAGTCTGCTTCTCATATCCTCCGTCCACTCCTTCTACCTCCCCGGAGTCGCTCCTCGAGATTTCCAGACWGTACGTGATAACCTCGATCACTTTCTCTCAATTTTTGTTTGCTATTGATTTTCCTTTAAAATGTTTTTCACGATCCGTGCCCTGTGCCCTGGTGAGTAGCTGCGTTTTTGGTAGTTCGTACTGTGGCTCAGTCGGATCTAGGTTTCTGGTGTTTGATCTGTTCTTTAATAGCTCAAGTTCTTATAGGATTGTGGTAACGGAACACTCCCAAGCATAATTGGATGTTGTTTTCTGGTTACACGTGTTGTGTTCAATTATGTGTTTTTCGAAGGAAAATTCGACTTATCTGCTCACTCCACTACAACGAAACGTAGGAGTGATACCGCATTATGTGTAAACGTATACGTATAGTTATCTTCGTGCCTGAAATTTGAATTTTTTCGAATTTTACTCATCTACCATGTTTTACTCAATGCCAAATCTTCCCGGCCAGGAAAATGGTTACATTCAGCCATAATCGCTGCCCATGCTATGTATTCAGTTTTCCAACATTGTTAGGTTTCTTATTGTTGTAGTATGTTAAAGTTGCTCTTGTAGTTGAAGAAGTTCACGTCAGCGTTCAAGTATATGGGCGCCAATGTACCATCTCATTAGAGAGTCCTAATTGATGTGCCCACTGTTGTTAATAATCTAATGTGGTTTGAGTTTTTATAGACTAGAGTTCTAAAACTGCTTATAGTTTGATTCCACTCAAGGTAATAGTGCCAATGATGACTACTAAAAATATTAACGATGTACTTCATGTGTCTGGTTCAGAATTCGGGTTTCTGTATGATTTAACTCTTAAATTTTTACTTCTGATCTCATTTTCACCTTCCATCTGTCAGTATGTATTCGATTTCCCATAATTTAATTTTTTTTATTCCGTGGTTGTCCTGGCCGATGGCCATTTTACCATTTTTTTTCCTTGAACAGGGTGGTAGTCTTCCTGTTAAAGTGAACAAATTGTCGTCTACAAAAACACAGCTCCCATATGATTACTACTATTTAAATTATTGCAAGCCCAAAAAAATCAATAATAATGCAGAAAATTTGGGAGAAGTTCTTCGAGGTGACCGCATTGAGAATTCTGTTTATACTGTGAGTATCTTGCCATTTCTTCAGGCGATCTGCATATTGTCCAGATCCCATCTAAAAATGAAGTCACCGTACCTTAATTATTTTCCTGTCTGAACGTTTCTAAATATTTCCCCAGTTCAAAATGAGGGAGGAACAGTCATGTACTGTCGTCTGCAGGGTAACTCTTGATGCTGACTCTGCAAAAAATTTTAAGGAGAAAATTGATGACAAATATCGAGTAAACATGTAAGTTTCAAACATAAACATCTATATCTATGTTTTTAATGGTATCTTGTCTCAAGTTTTGACTATAAAACTCAGTGTTACACTTCGTAGTTTACTCAAAGTGGGCACAACCTTTCCCTTGTGGCGTATCTATTGATTTTATTCACTTCTCTTATTACAATGAGATGCCTCCCGTGGAATTTCAGGATCTTGGATAACCTTCCTGTTGCTGTTCTTCGCCAAAGGAGGGATGGAAATCCTTCAACGACTTATGAACATGGTTTCCTTGTTGGATTCAAAGGGAATTATGCTGGGGTATAGCTTGGATGGCAGTTAAAACATGGAGGTTTCAGTGTTTACTTTTCTGTAGCCTTTATATTTTTGTTAATATATTTCTTCCCTTTTTCTTCACAGAGCAAAGAGGAAAAATACTTTATTAATAACCATTTGAGCTTCAGAGTCATGTTTCACAAGGACCCTGATACAGATCTGGCTCGAATTGTTGGATTTGAGGTTACTCCAAACAGGTTTTTCTTTTCCTCGTCCTTTGCTCTTTATAAGTCATTTGTACTTATCCTATAGTCCTATGGACCGAGTTCCTGTTTAATTGACCACTGGTTCGCTAGTCATCTTAAGTCCTTAGAGTGCTATTCAATCCAAGGGACTTCGAACTTTTAAAAAATACAGCCTTTTCCACTTCTAGCTTTRGCTGATTTTTGTTGTCAGTCTTGAATTTCACATTGAAATTTTGAAGCAAACAGCTCTTGTCGTATTTCCAGAGAATATCCATGTAATTATAATCAGTAGCTTAATTTCTCTCACTCTCATTTTTTTGAATAGTATTAATCATGAATACAAGGAGTGGGACGAGAAGAACCCTCAGCTAATTACATGTAATAAGGACACAAAAAATTTAATTCAAGGCAGCACTGTTCCTCAAGAAGTTGACACGAAGAAAGAGATTGTTTTTACATATGATGTTTCCTTCAAGGTACCGTCTTCAGAAATCCCTGGTATTCTCGAACTGTTCCTCCAGTATTGCAGTTGTAAACTGGGTTGTGGTATTTCTACAGGAAAGTGATATTAAATGGGCTTCTCGGTGGGACACGTACCTTCTCATGAATGATGACCAAATTCACTGGTTCTCCATTATAAACTCTCTAATGATTGTTCTCTTCCTTTCTGGCATGGTAGCCATGATCATGATGAGAACTCTGTATAGAGATATTGCCAATTATAATCAATTGGACGCTCAAGATGAGGCTCAGGAGGAAACAGGATGGAAACTTGTGCACGGAGATGTGTTTAGACCACCCATCAATTCTGGTCTGTTGTGTGTTTATATTGGAACAGGTGTTCAGATCTTCGGAATGACCCTTGTGACAATGATCTTTGCTCTGCTAGGTTTCTTGTCTCCCTCCAACAGAGGGGGGCTTATGACTGCCATGGTCCTTCTGTGGGTCTTCATGGGTCTATTTGCTGGTTATTCATCGGCTCGTTTGTACAAAATGTTCAGGGGCACTGAATGGAAGAAGATTACACTAAAAACTGCTTTTATGTTTCCCGGTATACTCTTTTCAGTCTTCTTTGTGCTCAATGCCCTGATCTGGGGGGAGCAATCTTCTGGGGCAGTGCCTTTTGGAACAATGTTTGCTCTTGTCTGCTTGTGGTTTGGTATATCAGTACCACTGGTGTTCGTTGGCAGTTACCTGGGCTTCAAAAAGCCAGCAATTGAAGATCCTGTGAAGACCAATAAGATTCCTAGGCAGATACCGGATCAAGCATGGTACATGCAGCCAGTCTTCTCCATACTCATCGGGGGCATTCTTCCATTCGGGGCCGTCTTCATTGAACTCTTCTTCATCTTGACCTCGATATGGCTCAACCAGTTCTATTACATTTTTGGCTTCCTCTTTATAGTGTTTGTAATCCTTCTAATTACTTGCGCTGAGATAACAATTGTGCTGTGCTACTTCCAGTTGTGCAGTGAAGATTACTACTGGTGGTGGAGGTCCTACTTGACCGCCGGCTCCTCTGCTCTGTATCTTTTCCTCTACTCAGTATTCTACTTCTTCACCAAGTTGGAAATCACAAAGTTCGTTTCAGGGATCCTGTACTTCGGTTACATGGTTATCGTTTCGTACGCTTTCTTCGTGTTGACAGGAACCATTGGCTTTTATGCGTGCTTCTGGTTTGTCAGAAAGATCTACTCCTCCGTGAAGATCGACTGATTCGGCTCAGAGGCTGTTCAGTTCAGACTATTTGTGAATCGAGGTAAACGGGAAGAGCTGAAAGGTGAGAAAATTTTCAACTCGGATTGGCCTTTTTTGGATATCAATGGGAAAAATTTTCTGTGTCTCTCAGACGATTCCCTTTTCATGGTAGAGTGTAGGTCCTCTTCCTCTTCACTTACACTATTTGTTAAGAGCTATGGATCTGTTCTATTATGTACAAGGAACAGGGACGGTAATTTTGGAGCTTTGTTGTGGTTAACTGGTTATATATGAATAATTACTGATACCAATTTTCATCTTTTATCTCAGTGCATTTTTTATCCTTATTTTTTGATAGGAACATATTCATGGTTAAGCTATCAAAGATTTGCTGATCTCCATCTCTCTTGTTTTAGGTTTAAATTTCTTAAAATGTATATTTTGATTATATAAACTTCAAAAAATCGTTTAATTTTAGCTATGGTGAACCTTCAAAATGTTTATTATTGTCTCTGAAGTTTCAACAGGTTTATTCTTTGAAGTTTCAAAAGGTTTATTTTTTTTTTGTATTAAAAAAAAGTTGAATAATATTTTGGATCTCTTTTACTTTCATTAAAATAAGGATTTAGTTTCTACTATTTTAGTTTTTTTTGTAACGGTTTAGTACTTGTATTTTTATATAGGTAACAATTTAGTCTTTGAACTCTAGTGGGTGGATAATAATTTAGTTCCTATAATTTAAAAATTGTTATAATTTAATTCTTTCTATGAAAAATCTCATTAAAATTATGTGTATATTTTTATTATATAATAATTTAATATTTATAATTTATAAACACGTCTGTGGTTCATCAATCCTATCAAATATTAACAATATTTTTTTACAATAGTACTAAATCTTTATAAACCTTAAATTATAAGAATTAAATTGTTACCTCTAAAGTTTATATAGAAAATATAAGACCAAAAATTATTTTTTAACCTAAAATACATAATTTCGGTTCTGAATTTGTTCTTTCTTTTGACTAAGACAAGAATTACATGTACACATATTAAGAGAAAAAATAATATATAAACAATCAAAAGGTAAAAAATGAAAAACTGAGATTCAAATATTGTTTTGTTATTGAACTTGAATTTTGGCCGTCTTTGGATACCCCTTACTGTCCTCCAGTTATTGGCGGTCCAATACAGAGAATGTGACTAAGCTAAAGATGGAAGCTTCATTTTGAAATATTAAAATAAATCACCAATTCACTTTGAATCGTAAATCACTATTGAACATTATGAAGATTTTACTAGATTTGTAGTTATTCAAAAAAAAAAAAAAAAAAAAGGGAAAAAACTGGCAATCTGTAGAAACAAATATTAAAATGGTTACCCACTACAGGTTCCTTTCAATTTATTCCACCATAAAATTCAAATTAGTTATTTCATTTTCTCAACCATTCAAATTCAGTCAATTTCTCACCCTTCAAAAGAGGAAATGCAACCTCTTGAATCTTGATTGTGGAAATGTATTGAAATTTTATCATTTCAAAGTCAACAGTCAGTGATTGACTACAACTACAACTACAACTACAAGCATCCCATGTGATTGACCAACTTCAAAATTCAAATCCTAAAATTCCTAACTAGAAAGAGGTGGGAAAAACAGAATATTTACTTGAGCAAACTCATGAAGCAGCAGGCAACTAACAAAATTCCTGCTAGAATACAAGTACAAACTGTTTTATTGTAGGATTTACATGCTGCAAATCTGATCTTTTGTTACAAGAAAAGAAGAGGAAGCTTATCACTTGCATCATCAGCTTGAACATGACCTCAGTTTCCCATTCCTGTGCCTGCATGACAATTTGAAAGGGTAACACTGTTGTTAAGGCCTCATTTGTTATGAACAAAGAACTAACAGAGACGACGGAGTCTTACCAAAATGAATCCTTTTTTTCCTGTGCTAACAATTCTTCAAACGACATGTCGGTGAACTCAGAATCTGGGTTTTCTGTTGGCTTCTCAGATTTTTCTATTATCTCCATGCAGTTACCAATTTCAAGCATCTGGAAAATCAGAAGGTTCAAAGAGATCACCCGGTGTAGCAGTGGCATTAGTCTTAACAATTTGAAAGTGTGTGTGTGCGAGAGAGAGAGAACACAAAGATATCCATCTTATAACTTTCGAAGACAATTTTCTTAAACTGCTACGGGAAAAGGGTGAGAGAGTAGTAAGCTTGGTCAAGTGTTAGACAGACAGAGTATTTTCTAATTTCTAGGAAGCATGGCGGGCGAAAGGCGGAAACGAAGTAAGAAACGATTGCAATACCTTTTTGTATGCTGGAGAGAGTTTAAGCTGTTGTTGAAGCCAGTTATAAACAAAGGTGTCCTCCTCTAGCCTTTTCTGTTCCAATTCTAGCTTGTATATCTGATACATTGACACAGATCAACAAATTTTGGGTAGATGAAACTTCTACCAACAGATGTCAAATTATATCATATTACCAACCTGCTGTTGAAGACGGTCGAAGGAGGATCTATCTGCCTTATAAAGCAGAGCTTTTGTGATGGTGAATTTTCGGTGGATAACATCAGCTCTGTCAATAGAAAAAGTGTATATAGTTGGCAGTGGAATAACTTTATAAAAGAGCAAAATTCTAAGAGATCATGTTCACAGTTCTTTGAATAAAGTGGGAACTATCAAATATAACCTAACAACCATCAATGATGCTTAGATAAGAAGTTAAAGAGATCCGTATAAACCCCAAAATAAAGTTCTATCAGATTTGACACACTAATATTTTTTAAGCGAAGATATGAGGCATACTTGTGCTGTAGCTTGCTTCTAGCATTGATCAAGCAATTTGCAAATTGTCTAACCTGCATTGGAAAGGAAGACAGAATAAATTGCAGTGCTGCAGTATCTATAACTCAACCCCATTCTAAAATTAAAGAGACCAAGGAAGACAGAATCAATTGCAGTGCTGCAGTATCTATAACTCAGCCCCGTTCTAAAACTAAAGAGACAGTGATATTGGAAAAGTTATGACTCTGCTCGAACGGCTAGGAACTTCATATTTATTGGCTTAAAAAGCAGGAATTCTCACAGATCACAGTACTACGACATGATATCGTATAGATTGAGCTGATCTTTAACGAAACCCGATCGACTATGACTGCTCTAGATAGAGCTGATACTTAATGAAGTCCAGGAAAGATTAGCAACCTATATTACTAGATTTCTGTTCCTACGAAATCTTGCAACACATCACTTAGCCTCACAATCTCAAATGTATGATAAATGGCATCTCAAACGAGCTTCAGGGTAATATAAAAAAATTAAGTAGGTTCTTAAAAAGAATGAGCAAGTAGACACAAACAAAGAAAATGGCAATGAGATGCCAATAATAGAGTCAAGGTGAAATAGAGATAGAACTGCTGCACAAATGGAGGTTGCAGGAGAAGTAAGATTGCCACCAAAAAAAGAATTCGATTAATAAGAGGTAGAAGAATAGAGAACCTGAGCCAATGTCAATTCCTTTGATTCCTGGCACTTCATAAGCTCATCATACTGCTGTTTAATCTTCCTCTGAATCACACTAGTAGACGATGTAAAGGGATACAATAGAGTCAATTCCTGCTCCGAACCAGTACCAGAATCCACGCCCCAGTTATCTGTCTCATCTTCAGCTTGCGAATTCGCCCTCTTCTTCTTTGCCCTCTTCTTCTTCCTCTTTCCCCCTTGCTCCTGCCCAGAATCTCCAAACTCCCTATTCAATCCACTACCCTTCGAATCTAGGTCATCGCGGCCCTCTTCGTCGAACAGGCTCCCCCATTTCGGGGAATCGGGCGGCAAGATCTCGAAGAGAAGCGAATGAGTCAGACAAGCCGGAGAACGCCGGTCGGTTCCTTCCCCACAGCTCGCCAAAGAATGCCCAATATCAATTCGCTCGGGCTCGCTGGGCTTACTGATTAGCTGCTGATGATGCTCGAACTCGATTTTCCTCAGCCTTTTGTAGAGAGAAAAAGATAAAACGAGGACGGAGAAGGTGAAGAAGACGAAGAAGGAGCATAACAACAACATGGGTAGGTCTCCATCAGAGTAGTTACTAATCCGAAGTGGGAAATTTGGGAAGAAACGGGACAGATACGAGCGTAAGGGCGCCATTGACGCGCATCAACAAAGAACCAACAAGGAAAAATGCAAAACCCCACCACAGAAAGAGGGAAAAAGAGACGATTGATTCAATCTGGGTCCGCTTCAAATTGGAAGCTGAAACTGAAAGAAGATAAATTCAGTTCGGTTCAGTAAAATGGGTGTGAAGAATCTTCGAAACGAAATAAAAATCCGGTCTCATTCCCAAATCGGCGAATACGCGCTATCGAGTCTCGGCTTCTGAAGAATCTTTCTTCAGTGTGGACTACCGTCCTTCGATTCGTAAGCCGACAATGTTTTCGTCAATGATTTTACAGTCCTCTTTTAAATCCAAAATAATTCCTATTTTAGCAAAAGTTAAATTCTTTTATCCTTTCTTAAATTTTTTATTTGTTAAAAAATATATGTATAATATAGATCCTTTAGTATAAAATTATGGTTACAATGAACAAAATTTATTAATTGTAACGTAATATTGAAATTTTGATTAAAAAATGAGACAATATGAACCAAAAAATCACCGTAAAAGTATAAGGACTAAAATTAACAAAAACTAAAAATACGGATACTAAAATATATATTTTAAGAATATATGAATTAAAATTAATCAAAATATAGAGATTAAAATAGTATTGAAACTAAACAATCTCATATGTCTCTAACTTTTACCTATCAATTTTTAAAAATGTTTAATATTTATATAAACTTTTAAATTGATATATAATAAGTTTGTTCAACTTTAATTTATGTTTAATAAATTTCTAACTCATGAGTTTATAAATCTATGGATAGTAAATTCAAAGGTTCAAGTATTTATTAACTTTGAGGGTTAGGTATTAAGTATTACCCTCATGTCTTTTATTTTATTTATTCTTTAATTTCATAAATTTAAAATTTATACTTTAATTATTTAAGCGAATAATGTCACTTGTTGGATTTCGACGACTAACACATCAACACAGGTTTGAGGCAGACTTCTAAGCAACTCGAGCTGGTAATTGCAAGTCATAATATAACACTTTAAAACTTAAGCTAGGATTCAAGTCGAGTTGGTGCAGAGGTGAACTAAGGTCCAGTACAAGATACTACAAACCTTAATAAGTTTAATTGTGTCATATATCAACAAATATTTCCAATTCGTACAAAATTTGTTATGGTTCAGATCTTTGCTTAGAATCATTGCATGCAAATTTGACATCCCAATTGAAAATGGTCACTATCCATCTTGACTTTACCCCATAATACGAGTAAACTTAATTGATCAACACAAATTTTTTCTTTCTACTATCCATCTTGACTTTACCCCATAATACGAGTAAACTTAATTGATCAACACAAATTTTTTCTTTCTATCTGGTGACAAGAGTTGGCTTGTGTTAAATGCTTTTAATTCGTTAGATTTTTAGATATTTTGTTATTAGGTTTGAGCAATAGCAACTAGGTCTAAATATTTTTATATTGAGTTTGAAGAAGTATTAATCACCCCACTTGTTCAAATTTAACATGAAATTAAAAATTAATATTAACATGTAATTAAAAATGGAAGATTACAATTAATTAATTGAGATGAGTATAAGTATAAAATGGGCTGCTTTTTATTTAATTAACAAAAAAAATATGCAGTCGACATGATGTCAATATTTGAAATTAGGAAATGAATAAAACGCTTTAAAAAGAAGGAAAAAAAAGAAGAAAAAATCGAATAGAATTTCAGAAATAAAACGAATGTTTTAATTAGATTAGATTTTTTTTTTCTTTGAAACAGATTTGATTTGTTTCAAAAGGATCTAGGTTACTTTCATTTGGGCCTTTAAGAACTGAATTGGATCCATAAGGATAATTATTGGCCCAGTCCTGGAGCCCGATTAAACGGCCCATTTTAGTACCCAATTTATCCATCTTTGATTTTGGAACCAACAAAAAAGAGGGCATTTACGCCCGAAATAAATATGCATTTTCAAATAGGGTACACAGTTTGAAAATTTAAAAAATAACATAATTAAAATGTTGTGTAAAAATAAAATTCTTTTATATTTAGGAAGAAAAGAGAAATTGTAACATATTTTAAAATGATTTGGTGAAATTCTAAAAAATGTGTTTTAAAATCATGGTAAGATGGTAAAATTTATAGAACAAAATTTTAAATTAATCAAAGTCCTTCATCATTGTTAATTTGATTCAAACAATCAAGTTGTGATTTTTATAGGAGATTGTTCATACCCCATTTAGTTATGGGTTTTGCTAATAATTTTGAGGTTAGTTGAGAGTGATATTATTTAAAAAATTAAAGAAAAAGAGAAGAACATTTTTTTTTCTTTTAACATAAGAAATAAGGTAAAAACAAACATGATTGCAATTAAATAATATTTTCATTACCCATAAAATAACTAATTATTTCATATAACAATTCAAGAGAGAGAGAAAAAGAAAGGTAAAATTACACGTTTACATTAACTTTTAGGCTCGTGTAAAAAGGTAATTCTTATTGGTATGGTTTAAAGTCTACGCTTTAAATTTAATGTTTATTAAATTATTGAAATATATAACATTTTTCTGCCACTAATAAATATATCAAAATGTCAAAGTGAGCAGCTCAACAGTATATCCAAAGTGAACATGACTCAACAGTAATTGACATATATGTCGAATCATGAGATGTACTTTATTTTAATTAATTTTTTTTAACTACAACATGAAGAGGAGATGATTTGAACTCACAATAATTATCGTTGAGCTATGCTTACGATAACGGTTTCAATTAAAGTTTATTTTTTGTCTAAGAAAAAAATAATTTAGTTGAACTTTTAATTTGTAACAATTGAGTATAACAATGTAGGATTTAGTCCTTGCCCTGAAAAAATTTCAACAAAATTAAGTGTGGATTTTTGAAAAGTTTTACCATTTAGAGACTTGATCTGAAAGTTGAAGGTAGAGCCGCCGGAGAGCGACTGCTGGCCAACTGACGCAGAAGCAAAAGCAGCCACCAACTCCAAGATAAAGAAAGGGATCTCAGACGCGGCGGAGATGAGCGAAGAACCTCCAAAACTCTACGCCAATAAACCCAAGAAAGGTATCATATCAATCGCAAACTCAAAACCCATTTCCCGTCTTCTCCGAATTCCTCGTTTCTTCCAAGTCTAGGAACAAATTGGTTGCTGCAACAAAGGATCTGATTCAATCTTTCACTTCAATTAGTAGGGTTTTAGTATCTGATTGATGGGCTTTCGAATTTTCGCTTTTCCAGCCCAGGTTAAGCAATTTCAAGATCAGCACAAGGTCAAGGACGCTTCTTCTTCTTCTTCTTCACCGGCACCACCACCACCGTCGGCTGCCGCACCGTCTAATATGGGGTCTTCGAGTTCGTCGCCACCGCCGCAGCCTCTGAAGGAATCGTTTGCCCGGCGATATAAGTTCTTATGGCCCATGCTCTTGACTGTAAACCTTGCTATTGGAGGTAATTTTTGTTTGTGTTAGTTGGTTTATAATGGAGTCTTTGTAATTAGGAGTGGTACTCGTTTATAAGGTTTTAGCATCACTGATGAAATTTGCGGTGGACCAATTTATTTAGATTGTCAAATCCTGCTCTCCTCTTTGTGGGAGATGAATCGTTTTAATGAATTTGACTGCAAGGTGCAAGTAAACAACAGAAGGGGAAAAGAAATGTTTCAGATAATAGATACACACATATATTCAATTCGAGTGGAGTTGTGGAAACAAAATGGAAAACAGGGAAACTGAATTGCTTACGGCTTTTCATGGTTCCTCTGTTAGTTTTTTTGTGTAATAAAATCTCCCGGCTTAACAGGGGAGTTCTAGATCTCTTGTTGTTTCGCCACTAATGTTTATAGAAATGGAAATGGATCACAGGATCAGTTTCCTGTATGATTGAACAAGATGTAAGCATGAAAATAATTGGAATTTGAGATTGATCCGGAACTAAAAGCTGAGTGTGTGCAGTATATTGGCGATTTTCAAGATTGAAAGATAGTAGTACTTTCCAGGTATCTTCGTTCTTGCTGAAACTTAAACCTTGCCATGGAAAAATTCGTTTTAACTAGGGGCATAAGCACGTTTTCACGGGTTGTTATTTTGGTGAATGGTAGAGAGGTTGGACTAAGAGTTGTCTTCAGTCTAGGAGTTGTTGAACCTGAACCTCCTGTTTCAGAAGTCAAGGAAACCACCATCCACTTTGCCAAATGACTCAATTTGTTTTCCATTATTTTCTCACTGAAGAAAATTCCTCATAAACTTTCCAAAGTATCTCATAAACCTCTACATTGTTTCATGCTGCACTTTTTTGTCTTTGGGGAGATGGATTTTACTTTTAGAAGAAATCTTAATAAAAAGGACCTGTTTGACCTCACTCCATTACTTGAATCCATTGACGGGTTGTGAAGGTTTAGGCGCAGGGAGGAAAAGAGGGCATTGAGCTTCAATCATCGTGTCTTTTTATAATTATATCTTTCATTGTCTTATGTTTCTTTGTCCCTCAAGTAAGTCCTTTCCTCAACACATCCTCTCTCTGACAAGTTTATCCTTTCCTCTATACACCCACACTCTGACAAGTTTGGTGTCATTGGACATAATCTATTTTCCTTATAATCAAACATTAATTGCAATGATTTGTTAAATGGTAAATTAGGATAGATGTAAATGAACAATACCTCCTCCCCGGAACTGTATATTAAGTTTTCTTCTCGTATGGCTTGAGAAATTTCCAAGTTATGTGCGCTGCCTACCTTCTTGTGGTTTGTGGGGTTGAGGGCATGGAAATTTGTTATCTTCCAATTGTTTTGATCACTAGTTGTGATCGTTTTTAGAATATTTACCTGATTTTGCTTGAACTGAGATAAGTCTTAATCGCGTGTAGCTTATCTGTTTACGAGGACAAAGAAGCAAGATGATGATCATGTAATTGAAGAAGAGGCCACCCCAGATTCAGCTAAAACTGCTAATACTGCTAATACTGCTGCTCCCGTCATTGAGGAATCATTGGCCAGACCAGCCATTGTGGAGCCTGTGAAGGTAAGAGAACCAATTCCGGTGGACCAGCAACGCGAACTTTTCAAGTGGATCTTGGAAGAAAAGCGCAAGATAAAACCAAAAGATCGCGAAGAGAAGAAACGCATCGATGAAGAGAAAGCCATTCTCAAACAGTTCATCCGAGCAAAATCTGTTCCAAATGTTTAAGATGTCCAAATGAAAGCAAACATATTGACTGGTTTACATTGTTGATGGAAACTGGATGTTGTTGATTGCTTAGTCCTGAAAGGATTCTGTGTGTTTCAAATCCAACGTACTTCGTTAGGCCTCGCGGGTATCGTACAGAATTTCTGATACCAAACAGAACCTTCACTATGAGGGAAAAGAACAGCCAGTATTTTTGGTGGTTGTTTGTCTTAATGTTCTCTGGTTTGTATGAGGAGAAAGATCCATTTTATTAGCACCCAACTTGCGAGAGAATCCAAGGAAACAGCTTCTGCAACTTGAAGAGTTCACGTGGGCAGAATGAAATGATAGCACAATTTCCCAAATGGATGTGGACATATCCAATGTGTATGGTGAGATTTCTCCATCTCCATGCAAAAGCCACCAAAAACCAAACCAAATGCAACTTCCAATGGGTCAAGTTTTTGGTGCTCTTTTTGGAATATTTTAGTCTTTCTAGATAATGTGTCATAAGCTCCTTCAAAACTCTACCTGCTGTAGGCTCCATGCTTCAAAAGGAATCACAGGGGGTTGATAAAATGATGTTCTTTATATAAATAAGCCACCTCTTTAAAGCAAAATGGCAATAAAAAAATGGGTCCTTAGAAATTGTTCAAAGGGTCCAAGAGAGATTCTTGGAAGTGCAACAAAAAGAGATGGGTTTAAAATATATTCCCTCCATTTACTTAACCTTTTGTGATGGAAACAACCACCATTTCCCATTACCCAACAATGGTATTATAATATCAACTAAGGTAAAGGGGTATCAAATATTTGCATCAATACTTAACAACGTGGGACTCAACCGTGACCTCAGCTCATATTTAGAGGCTCTACCCTTTCTCATCAGAGGCAAATCGAAGTGAAAAGCAGCACTCATTGTGTGGTAAAATAGCCTTCTGATAATGACATAACAAGATGACCCTTTCTCATGAGAGGCAAATCGAAGTGAAAAGCAGCACTCATTGTGTGGTAAAATAGCCTTCTGATAATGACATAACAAGATGAGGACTTAACCGTGACCTCAACTTGTTGTTAGAGGCTCCACCCTTTCTCATGAGAGGTGAATCGGGCAAGAGAATAAATATTAAACTAGGCTACCGCCACATCGTGGTTGCCTCCCAATAATATTAGATACATATTCGAAATCTGTATGCTTCTTAATAAACATTGAATACAAAGTCAAAATACGTTTTGAAATTTCTCTCTCATACATCATACATCCAACAGTGTAAAACTACTAGCCAACTATATTGTGGCGCTCTCCCCCAGAGAAGAAAATGGTTTAGAAATTTTGAATTAATAAAATGAGAATGAAGTGTGGATGGGACACAAAACTAAAAAGGAGAATGAATTTATGTGATGATGAGAGAATGTGGTGTGGTTGGAGTTTTATTGATTCTAACATGAACGCACGAGGCTGCCCAGCTAACCCTTCAACTGGTGGGGGACGCCTTCAAAGCCACAAGAGTAATCATGCGCCTGTGGTCCTTCCCCTTTCCTAAAACCATATTTATTTCCCCTCTTTATACTCTTAATCATTGTTCTCAATCTACATGAAGTTTTTATATTCCTTGAATCATGTGAATGCATATTCATAGAATACAATCATGCTGTGTTCCATCAAAGAAAGCCTTAAATTTAGACTGATGAATGGATATCATGGCACTTGATTTGTTTGTTATTTTAACATTCTCTTCTGTACATGAAACCTCTCCCTCTTATAAAACTCATATTAGCTCTCTCTCTCTCTCTCTTTCACATTATGAGTTTTCTGTGTCTGTCTCTGCTGCACGCGTGCACATACACATGGAAACTCATTCTTCAATCATTCGGACGCCAAAAGATGTGGTCAGAGCTGTGGTGATGATGATTAAGCATATTTAAGAGGAGCAGAGAGAGAGAGACAAGGCAGGGAGGCAGAGCAAATCTTTGTCCAAAAATGGACAGTTTGTGGGATGTTGTGGTAGTGACAGCCATTTTCTTGGCCACCATTATTGTCTACTGCAGCTTTTCTAGACTCCTCAGATCAAACATCTGCACCCAACTCCCTTTAGGCACTCTTGGCTGGCCTTTCATTGGTGAGACTATTGAGTTCATCTCCTTGGCTTATTCCGACCGCCCCGAGACCTTCATGGACAAGCGCCGCCGCCTGTAAGTTCTCTGAAAGACCAGCTTCTTCAAATGCTGATCTGATTTGTGATTGTTTGGTAATGGTGTTGCTTGGTTTTGTTGTGAACTAATGGCTTAACTTTGGTTTTGCAGGTATGGGAAGGTGTTCAAGTCACATATTTTTGGAAGTCCTACCATTGTTTCTACTGATGCAGAAGTCAGTAAGGTCATTCTGCAGAGTGATGCTAAGGCTTTTGTACCGTCTTACCCGAGATCGTTGACGGAATTGATGGGAAAGTCTTCCATTTTGCTGATAAATGGGAGCTTGCAGAAGAGAATCCATGGTCTTGTGGGAGCTTTCTTCAAGTCTCCACATCTCAAAGCTCAAATAACCAAGGATATGGAAAGTTATGTCAAATTATCTATGGCAAATTGGACTGAGAACAATCCTATTTACCTTCAAGATGAAACCAAAAATGTCAGCTTTCTCTCTCTTTCTACTTTTTAAAGCTTGAAATTAACCTGTGAGTTTTCTTTTTTATTTTACCCTACATGAATTTGACAAAAAAGTCCATAGATAATAATGTCCCACCGTTACTCTGTTGATACTAGACAAAAATAGTTACTTTCTTTACCCATCGATGTTCAAATCACCCATTTCTCTGGCTCCTACTTGGTTTTAAAGATGATTTATGTCAAAAGTAAGAAAACCAAACAGTTTCTGCTATCATTCTGTTCAAATCATATTGTCCAAGAATTTTACCTTTATAATCATTAGCTTAGCTATCTATTTTCCTGTTGAAAAAGTTACAAAGTGAACCCCTTTTGTCTCCAGATTTCCTTTCAAGTATTAGCAAAGATATTGATCAATTTACATCCTGGTCAAAGGATGGAGTTTCTCAAGCAACAGTTCCAAGAATTCATTGCTGGGCTTATGGCTTTCCCAGTGAACATCCCCGGAAGCAGGCTTTACCGATCGCTGCAGGCAAGTTGCTCATAAAAGGTTTAATATCCTCCTTCACTTTTACTCTTTTACTGCATTCTCAAAATGATGGAGCTTTATTTTATACTTGAATTTCAGGCCAAGAGGAATATGGTAAAACTAGTAAAGAAGATGATACAAGAAAGAAAAAGCAGTGGCATTTCCCCTGTCCCAAAAGATGTGATGGAAGTTTTGCTCAAAGATGAAAGTGAACAACTAACAGACGATCTAATTTCAGAGAACATGATTGACATGATGATTCCTGGGGAAGATTCAGTCCCAATCTTAATGACCCTTGCCGTAAAATACCTCTCCGATTGCCCGGCCGCTCTTCAACAGTTAACGGTACAATATTTTTCTTGCCAATCTCTTTCAGTTCTTGGGGAAAAAATCTACATCACTACGGCGAATTTTGCTTCTATTTGACATGTGAATGTACTGGTTGGCTTTATCTAGTCATACTTCTAGTTTCTATTACTTGGAAATAAAATGTCCTTTAGTTCCCTCTCCCCTTTGACAATGTCCCTTTTAGACCTGTCACGTGGTCGGTCTTCAGGTGCTAGCTAGAACGATAGTGAACCGACTTCCGAATGTACTAGTTGTTTCGCAAGTTTATGTATGAGTTTGTTTGATTGAATCCGAGGCTAGAATATAAGCTAAATGCATATATTGTATTGGTAACATTCAGTTTAAAGCAAAGAAGGTTAATCTATGGTCTTCCTTGGCTTCTTTGGATAGTTCTTAAACTATATGTCTGTTTGGATCCATATCAGGAGGAAAACTTGAAGGTGAAAAGACAGAAAGAGCAGCTCGGAGAGCCGTTGCATTGGAGCGATTACTTATCGCTGCCATTTACGCAGAGCGTAATACATTAACCTTCTAAAAGAGTAGAAAGCTGTGGAATGCTTACAGTATTAGTGATTATGTTGAATATGTTTTCATTTGAATAGGTGATCACAGAGACTCTAAGGATGGGAAACATCATAACCGGGGTGATGCGGAAGGCCATGAAAGACATCGAGATAAAAGGGTACTTAATACCGAAAGGTTGGTCGGTGCTTACGTACTTTAGATCTGTTCATCTCGACGACAATCACTATGACTGGCCTTACAAATTCAATCCATGGAGGTGGCAGGTAAGAAAGGAGATATTTCTCTCTTTCCTTCTAACTTTTGCTTTTAATGTCTCTCTTTCCTTGATGGGATTTTGGGGTCCAACAGGATAGAGACTTGAGCAGTTGTAACTTCACTCCTTTTGGAGGTGGACAGAGACTATGCCCTGGACTTGACTTGGCCAGGCTTGAAGCTTCCATATTCCTTCATCACTTTGTCACTCAGTTCAGGTAACTGCCAAAATCACTTTGGCATCTCAACTTTTTACTGTTTTTCTCATTTCATTCGGAATTGATAACAAAACCACTCGATATCTTACCAACTTGAATATACCTCAACTGGTTAAGGCATAAATCATTGACCAAAAGGTCGAAGATTCAAATCCTCACCCCACATGTGGTTGTACTAAAAWCCACTCAGTATCTTATTTGTATTTTTAAAAATAACTGGAGTTTATAACCATCATGGTGTGGTCTAGTGGTCAATAAGGGCCAATGTAAATAGCAAATTGCTTAGAGAAAATGAATTCATACCATAGTGGCCACCTACATCAGATTTAATGTCCTACGAGTTACTTTGGCAACCAAATGTAATAGGGTTAGGTGGATGTCCCGTAAGATTAGTCTTCTGAGTACTCTTTTCATACTCGTGTTTTCACCACTCTCACTAATCTTGACAGTAGAGCTCTCCTGATACACGAAAGGAAAAGTGTTTTTTTTCAAGTAATTTACTCATCCTGCCATTTGAATTTATAACAGATGGATGGATGAGGAAGATAGAATCATCAACTTCCCCACAGTGAGAATGAAGAGGAGAATGCCAGTTTGGGTGGAGAGGCGAAGGGATCCATGACAAGGGCAACAGGAGCTCCCGTTTTGCCAAAAGCACAACTTCAATTAACTTCACCAATTACACACCAACCAAACATACATTTTGAAAAAAAGAAAACCAAAAAACAAATCCCACATTTGTAAGAAGATGACACTTCTATCCTCCCATATACGCTATATTGCACGTAGAAAAACCGATAATATTCAGAAAGCCCCACTCACCGTTGCTCGTAATTTACTTGCATGTCTATCACGTGTTGTAAATGGTATATATGTGTGTGTATCCATTTGAATTGATAGTACTAGATCTTAACAAGTAATGTGTAATAGAGTTATGGGTTACATTGTTTTGATCATTTTGATTTTGTCATGTATAGATTAAGATTGTATTTCAAGGGATCAAGTGTTAGTAAGCTCTTTTTTTTTTTCTCTCATTTTTTTCCTCCAATAGCATAATTTAAAGAAAAAAGCATAACAACAGCACAATTCAATTATAGAACTACAAAAAGAACAATAATACTTAGAAAACTATTCCGAACATTTACAAGCATATAATTGGATTTGGGCCTTCAAGCAGGGGTAGTATAGTTGTATTAATGGGCCGCATTATTTAATTTGGGTTCTAATGTATGGGAACATTTGGGCCGGCCCAAACATTGAATTCTGCCAAACTCGTCCTACCTAAATAAGCCACATTTATTTTTCAATTTCTAATCTTAATAAATTAAAAAATAATCCGCTAATAAAATAACAAAGCAATGCAATGGCATGCTACTTTTTTCTTAGTGCAAGGAGTTTTCCTATACTATCTGCAATAACTCATAGTAATCTATTTACCGGAAAAAAAAAAAAGAAAACTACTTTAAAATTGTAAATTGACTTAGACATTAATCATATTTTATATTCAAATTCTAAATTGTCTCATTCAATCCCAAATTTGAAAAAATATCTAATAAATTTATAGACTTGTTATTTTATATCGGAAAGATCTCTAACTTCTTGAACACTGGAATGATTAGCTAACTTTGGACTGTTGGTGAAGTCCGTACAATCCCATACTCCATATTTCATAGTATTAAACTCTAATTTAAATTATCTCAAAAAAAAAAACTCTAATTTAAATAATTTGAATATCAAACTTCTCAAAACAATTATTAAAAAAAATTATTTCTAAGCCGATTCAAATAGTTCATAAAAGTTTGATTCCTACAATTAAAAAAGAATTAAATTGATTTGTACCCAACATTTTGTTCTAATTCTAGTTCATACCCAATAAAGTCAGAGGACCAATTCTAGGTTTCAACTACTCACCGACAATTCTTTTATCCGTCGTCACAAAGTTCCACGACCTTCCTCCTCCGTCCTCCGTCGTCGTCCCCAATCTCATCTCCGGAATCTCCGCCACTCCGATGACCACCTACGGCACGATCCCGGCCTCCGCCGCACCCGGAGCCTCCACCGACCTCGAGTTCTTCTCCCGCGCCAAACAGCGAGTTAAAGCCGGTCTCGCCACTCGCGCTCCATGGAGGCTCATGTTCGATTTCCACTCCTTCACCCTCCCGTTCAACTTCCGCGACACTTTCTCTCGGATCAAGACCAACATCGCCTACTTCCGCATGAATTATGTCATAATCGTCCTCGTAATCCTCTTTCTAAGCCTCATATGGCATCCGATTTCCCTCATAGTCTTCTCAATCATGATTGCCGTTTGGCTGTTCCTGTATTTCCTTCGCGACGAGCCTCTGGTTCTCTTCCGCCGTCTGATTGACGATCGAGTGGTGTTGGCAGTGCTGTCGGTGCTCACGCTTGCGTTCTTGTTTCTGACCGACGCGACGCTCAATATTCTGTTGTCGCTTCTGATCGGCGCCGTGGTGGTGCTGATCCACGCCGCCGTGAGGAGGACGGATGACCTGTTCTTGGACGAAGAAGCTACCGCCGTCTTCACCGTCAGTGCGAGCGCTCCTGGATCTTCGATTTCGTTTTGATGGATCGTAATGTTTAATGTCGTTTAATCGTTTCGAATGAAGAAGGTAATCGCATCTTTAATCATCAATTTTCTAGCATTAATTTCGTTTCAAGCATTTATTACGGAATCCATTAACCAACAGAGGAATCGATCAATAAAATCAACATAGGAGTCGAAAATAATCAGAATCTTCTCATTCAAGCATAATATGCTGATCTAAGAACCACCAAATCGATACTCTCGAATTTCTCATTTTAGGGTTTTTGTGGATGGACCTGAATTAGAAATAACACGGAAACAATTTTGGGGGAAATTCCAATTTTTACTTTGAATAATTCAGTGAATTGAATCCTAGACTCAATACTTTTCTAATATAATAAAGACAAAAGAAGAAGAAAAACTAATTTTTTTCAACCGAATTAATTTGACTGGTGCACAAAATAAACTATAATTAATTTCATCAAAACCAACAAACTTAAAAAGGAAAAATTGTTATAGTGTCATTTTTACTAAAAATATATGATTTATTATTCATATAAAAGGGTGAGATTTGACCTAAAAGAAAAATATTAACCCTTTGTGGCACCTTCTTCCTAGTTACTTTAAAATAACTCTACTATTAATATACCAATACCAATGATTGGTTCTTTAGTAGTAACATCAATTGAAAAAATATACATATTTTCCTTATCACGATAATCTTGTACGAACCAACTCGACAATATCCAATGGGATATAAACTTTTAAAATTTAACATCATTCGTCATAGTTTGAAGAGATAAAACATTTTAATATCGTCTCAAAAGTTAATGGTTCGATCTCTCAAATCTCTTACTATCATGGTAGTAACTAACATGTACTACTTCCAACCTCTCATTGTTGACATAAATAAAGTACATAATTTGTAATTATAAAATAAGACACGATCAATTGAGATTAAATAGAAACACAATTAATTATGTTAAATCAAAGATTAAATTGAAACAAAATTCAAACGATATTAATTTGACAATTAAACCAAATAAAAATGTAATATTTTTGCACTATTTTTAAATTAGTAAAATAGAAAATAATGCTAATATTTCCCGCTCGAGTAAGAACGAAGCACGCAGACAGGCAGTAGAAGAGATCTTTTACCCGACTAACAAACCCAGCCGGGACCTTTCAGACTCCGCCGTGTTCGGAGTTAATTCCGGCCGATTTCCATCGATTTCCGCCGTCAATTTCACCGGGAATTCGCCGATGGCACACCAGCCCTACGATCCTTACTATCTCTACCATCAACCAGATCCGAACTACAGTGACCGGAGCAATATCAACACGCTCTTCATCTCCGGTCTCCCAGACGACGTCAAGGCGCGCGAGATACACAACCTTTTCCGCCGCCGGCCTGGATTCGACTCTTGCCAGCTCAAGTACACTGGACGCGGCAACCAGGTTTTCTCATTCTATTTTGGCTGTAGAATGCTATTTGTTGACGAGGAATAAGAAAAGAAAAATATAGATGTGCAAAAGGAGGGCATAATTTCTAGCTTTGCGTTTAATTAAGTGTTATTTGAAAGTATATGAGAGGATGTTGTTGTGGATAGGTTTTAATTTGTAATTCTGCCAGTTTTTAATTGTCTCCAATTTGGATACTGAAGAAACAAAGAATATGTGGGGATTTTGAGCTTCTCTGAGTTTACTTATCTGAAGAGGAATGCTAATTTTCCTCAATCTACAAGGAGAATGTTTACTACTGCCCTTCTTTTTAGTTTTAACATATGAAAGAAAAACTTGGTTGCCGTTTTCAAATAGGTCCTTTTGTTTTCACAGGTTGTGGCATTTGCCACCTTTTACAATCACCAATCAGCTGTGACAGCGCTTCATGCATTAAATGTAAGATTATGGATTGCAAACAGTTCTATGTTTGCGTCTGATTTCTCATTCGTTGTAGAGCTTTGTTGGTTCTTGTTTATTTTTCTTTTGCATGTTGCGCTCTATTTCTATGGCAGGTTCTGATATTAGAAAATTTTCAGTATTGTCAATTTTTAATGTTGAGATGTAATCGTGGTGCTGTACCAGGGTGTCAAATTTGATCCACAAAGTGGATCAGTTCTGCATATTGAACTCGCCAGGTCAAATTCTAGGAGAAAACATAAACCAGGTGAGAGCTTAACAATATGGATTTCCTGCTGATGTTAAGTTACTATGCTAAGATGATGTTTTTATTGTGATCGGATTCAATGTTGCTCTGTACAGGTGGTGGAGCATATGTTGTGATAGATAAAAGGAAAAAGTCAGATATCAATGCCCAAGAAACATCAAGTGATGATGGTGAAATGTTTTTTTTTTATCTCTAATATGAACATTTGTTTCTAATATCATATTCTTCTCCTACGTGTTTGAAATGTAATTTTCATCTTCACACCTGTCTTTTTACTTACCTATATTCAGTATGTAGATTTGAACTATCTTCTTGCCTGCAACTTGTTTTCTCAATATTGCATGTGTAATCTACATTTAACTTGAGTCGCTGCTACCCAATCATAATTTTGGGGCTCACGTGGATATTTGATGTTCCGTTGTATATATTCAGGTGGCAGTGAACCTGATGAACCATCAAAGAAGACCGAACGAAGGTTGAGAAAGCATTAAGTAAAAGTTCAAATTTTCTCAAGTATAATATTAGAAAATATAGTAGGTCTGGGATGGGATATAAAACTGAAATGTTATTAATTTCTTGCATTTTTGCCTTGAGGTTGATTTCATTTATTTCTTGTCTAAATGCTGCAGCAGCGAGGCTGTGATGACTCCTAGTAATGCTTTATCTGTTCCATATGTAAGTCGGTCTATCTTTATTGTTTGGATTTAGGAACAATGCGTGTCAAAATGCAATCTCATTTTGTATTATAACGTAAGAATGAATATTGCTTCTGTGCAGCTGTTAGTCTTAAATGGTCCGCAGTTGTCTACTTTTTGCCAATTCAGTGTATAGTTTATTCTATTTCAAGTTTTGAAGAGACCAGGTTCAGTAAATTTTATTTCCTAGCTTCAACGTTATATTGTTTGCCCATAATAGAATGAGCTGATAAATATTCTGCAGAAAATTGTTTGGTGCTAATTTCAACGGTGTGATTTTGTAGACATGTTCTGCTTGCCAATGAGTAATAGCTTGTTATTAGGGTTAACCATACGATTCAATATGGTTTGATTTATTTGATGTTTATTGCTGCAGGAGCATCATGAAAAAACTGATGGAGGACACTGCTCCACTTTGTTTATCGCAAATCTGGGTCCAAACTGCAACGAAGATGAATTGGGGGAAGTCTTGTCCAAGTGAGTTACACTCGCTCAGTGGTTCTGTAAGAACCTTTAGTGGGATTTCTGAAATTAAGTGATATCATATTCTCTCCTTTATTGCATCCATGATTCTTGTTTTAGTGTGACGTTGAGACRATCACATTAATTGATTAAGTGTTTTTTTAGTTCACATTAATTGATAAGCTAAAATCTTATTTTAAAATTTATGAACCTTCATTTCTCTAACTCATGATTAGTTTTATATAACGTATCCTACCAACTGCAGAATTAAATTGGTCTGCAAAATCTCATGACAAGAATATTTCTAGAAATTTGTTGGGATTATTGAACCAGCTTGGTCTGTAAAAACTGATGGACAATTTATTATGCCTAAAGACCATAGGTACGTTTATTAGTTCATAAGGCTAAGTAGCAAATTAATCAAAGATACCAAGAAAAATGCTATGCTGATAACTGATAAGGGAGTTTTGCTGAGCTGTTGCAGTACATCATAAAACAATGATAGTGGAGCCAGAAATTATTATTCTTTACGAGAGAAGTTTTACGGTGACACTCTTATGATGCCAGATATCCTGGGTTCAACGTGCTAAAATTGCGTGCTAAAAGTGGAATGCCGGTTGCATTTGCTGATTTTGAGGTATGCAAAAATTGCTTCAGGAAATTGTTGAGATTGTATTATGCTCCAATAGTCCCTTACATGTGACCGAACATATTGCAATTTGAATTGAAAGCAATGGTATCGGGACGAGTGAATCTTGGGTTTGCACTCACTGGAATGATTATTCTCGAACTCCAAGTCATGCATTTCTTTAATTCTTCAATTACCTGAGTATTGGTTTATATTATTTAGGATTTGAAATGATTTTTAGTAAATTATCTACTTACCATATTGGAAATATCTTGTTTTCAATATTCTTTTCTTAGTTTATTTTTTCCTTATAGGAATGTCACACTTTCAGATCACAATATTTGATGGAGGAGCCCGTTTGAGAAGAAATCTTCAATATTGGAAATCTTTAATTGATAAATTATGAGCATTCCAAAATATTCAATTCAGAAAGAACATAGTAGTAGTAGTTGCCTCCTGATATCATCAGGACTGATGAGGTCCATCTTTAATATGAATTCATTTACCTCATTTTCTTGTGCCAGGAAGTTGAACAAGCTAGGAAGGTCATGGAGGAACTTCAGGGCAGCATGCTACCATCATCAGACCGTGGCGGCATGCATATAGAGTATTTATATATAAATTACATATCAATTTCTATCCATAGGTTAAGGACACTATGATTGATTGATTGATCTTTCATGTTTTTAACTAGGTATGCACGGTCTAAAATGAGGAAGTCTTAATTGAAAATCATTCATCAGTCTAGTATGACTCAAAAATACTGATCGATTTGCTGCAAGGAATGCTTGCTTGTGGTTATTGGCAGGGACCATTTGCTGCTGCTCTGAAGTTCTGTGGCATTATTCAATCTGGTATCGGTTCAAGTGCTTGCAAACTACACATCACTGCCTAAATTGTGACAACTGATGATGTGAACTGATAAACTCATGCGCATTTTAAGTAAAAATATGTAGTTATGTTTTGTGAAGTGTTGGAAGTCGTTTCCTTATTTGATTTTTTTAGTCTGAAGAAGGCTGTTGCTACGCAGTGAATAGTTAATAGCATAGTAGAAGTGTTGGGGGGAAGCTTTCTAAGCTGAACAAGGAGCTGACTTTAGCCGTCTTAGTAAAAAGGAAAAATGAAGAAGCGGGTAACCGTTGTCATGGATTAGACGCAATTCATTAGGTACCTCAGTAAGTAAGATGTTGTGGAACTCAATCAAATATGGATCAATTAGATGACTTACAGTAGGTTGAGTTTAGTTTTCGGTTAACCATTAGAACAAGCTTGGGCGGGTCCCACCTCGAACTTGATACTTATATTTAAACCATAGTTTGGATAGAGAGGGGCTGGTTTTGCTTACAGTAGGAGTATGTGACCCATTAATAGGTAAATAGCACAATATTTCGATCCCTCCACTTGAGCTTGTATGCATTCCTTTCCAGCCATAAGTAACATCTATATCAAATTGTCAAGGATGATCTACGAATCAATAGCAATTATCCATGTCTACCATGTCACTTCCTTAACTGGTGATCTTGTAGCATCTTGCCACCATTTCTTTACTTTCGTTGTCCATAATCATGTCACGAATTTTCTTATTAATGGTATATGGAATTCTAAAAATTGGATTCCACTAGGATTTTGAGGGCTGTTTATTGTCCCAAATCATAGTATCTTCTAAATCATCATTATCATCTTCGATACATCAAATTCTTTTGTTGTAGTAGAAGATAAATTTCCCCCCAGTCCTCACACTTGCTTGTCTTCTGAATTCTGATAGGCCCCCTACTGTGAAGTCTGAGGTAGGAAGAGGGGGAGAGTTGGAGCTGGGAGTGTGGGGTGTGTGAATCTGTTACTACGTGAGTGGGGCCATTAATAGCTATTCGTGCTTGAAGAGACCCCATCGGTCTGCTCCTTTTAAGGGACATTCTAAGCTGTCCTTCGAGAGATAAAACACCCCATAGATCCTTGTTATGAGGGCTAGAGAGGGTATTTTGTAAACATGGTTAAATACATTAGCAATAAGAGAAGAGAAGAGGGTTCTATCATCTTCTCCCTCCATCATGGCAGCTCGTAACTAATTGCTCACTTTTATTTCGACTAAGTTGAATATCTGTTGAGTAATTACTTCAAAATTTTCCCCCAACTTTATATTATAGATTGTTTATAAGCCAACTATAAAGTTGGAATAAGTTTACCCTCTGTCCATTACTTGTTGCTGACCTCTATTTGCCAGCAGCTATTCAAGCCAGGATAAATTTCTAAGCTCCGATGTCAATTCTATTACGGAGCAAAAGCAAAAACACAAAGAAATCACACCAGGTAAGCTGCATAGAAACCAATCACCTTACAAGTTTAGTCTCATAAACTTTTAGTTAAATTTGATGTCCAATAAATCCCTTGGTCTTTTAACTTTCACTGAACTTTCAATCTTTTTATCTTAAGACCCTAGACTGTTAATTTCATGTCTAATAAGTTCGTGAATTTTAAAAAGGTCAAATAGGTCAAAGGCTTATTAGACACTAAATTAAATGTACATTGATATATTAGTCACAAAATTGAAAGTCTAAAAATTTTTTAGACCTTTTAAAGTTGAAGAATTTATTAGATACAAAATTGAAAGCTCATGATTTAATTTAATCAAGCCACCCACCGCCATTGCATTTGATACTCTGTAGTCTGTATCAAAGTTATGGTACCTAAGTCATTTATGTATGTCTCTGAGCTCCGGCCCACCAAATTTAAAGCTGAAGTTGGGAAAATATGGTTTAGAGCAGGGGTGTAACTTTGTCGGTTCGAGTCGGTTTTCGTACAAAACCGATCCGACCTGAAAGTAGTCGGTTTGTACTCGGTTCGGGTTCGTTGGGTCGCTTTCTTTTTTTTAATTATTTTTTTATTTTTTAAAATCTCCTTCCTTGAAAATCTAAAGCTACCGACAAATGTTGAAAGAAACATGGAGATTTGAAGGGAAAAAATATTTTCAGCAAATCTTGACAGCCAAAAAATTTTCTCCTTCCTCAATCTTCTTTTCTTTTTTGAAAATCCAATAGATCTTGCAAACCCAAATTGCAAATTTGAAAAACAAATATTTTTTCTCCTTTCTATCTTCTCTGAAAATCCAACAAATCTTACAACCCCAAATATGCAAATTTGAAAACAAAAAATTTTGTTTTATCCTTTTCTCTATTTTCTTTTTTTGAAAACCAAATAGATCTTGTGAACCCAAATATATAAATTTTGAAAAAAAAATATACTTCTGCAGATCTTGTAAAACCAAATATGCAATTTTGAAAAAATAAGAAACAAATTTTTCCTTAAACAAAGCCATCATATCACAACAGATTTTGCAAACCCAGATGTGAAAAAATCAGAAACTAAGAAAATCTAGGGAAGTTAAAAAAATAAAAGAGAGGTAGAAAAAAGGCGACCCCTGCCTGTTCCAGTTGCCTCTGCCATGGCCATGGGTGGAGATTGAAATAGAGCTGTTGGAAGAGAGGGAGGGGGAAAGAAGGACGAAAGACGAGGGAGGGAGGCGGCGTAGGAAATTGAAAAGTGATTTAGGTTAAAAATAAAAATTTTATTTTATTTGGTTAAATCGAACCGAGAAAATCATCCAAACCGACTCGATCCAATTTTACTCGGTTTGGTTCGGTTCGGTTGATCAGGTCGGTTCGATTCTTTACCTCCCTAGTTTAGAGGCCCACATATTATAGATCAAAGAGTTTTGGGAAATTGTGGTGGGTGGCTTTATTTAAACCAATAAAAGCTAAATTGTGAATTTGAACCTAACTCAATTGGTTAAGTCACATTTTTTATCAAAAAACCGTGAATTCGATTAGCATGTATTGTACTCAAATATGGCCAGTCGCGAACATGAATTTTATATATCATAAATATGACCAATGCTTTTTATTTATTATTCAAACGAGTTCCTAAATATTTTCCTTTTGACAAAACATTTCCAAATTTCAAAAGAGAGATTTTAGTTTTGATTAATTATCCATATTTAATCCAGATTTTATTTTGAAACACAGGTTAGATTGCATTTTGTATTATTTTATTTAAATTTAATTTTAATTTTTCTGAAATTGTTAGTTATATGTCATATTTTAGGCATTGGTTTTTAGTTCATGCATGATCTTATAATTTCGAAGAATATGTACTAATGCAAAATTACATTTTCTCCAACTTCCTTTTTTCCAAAGTAGGTATAACTATAATTTTTTTTTTTCCTTTATTCTATTTTATAGACTTAAATCCATTCTCCAAAGTATCAATTATTGTCAACTTCTGCATGTTTGCTGTCTTTTGTTATATTTACTTTTAAAATTTTGATGTTAAATGATTACTTTTATCTTGTAATGAAAGCGGCATTGAATTGAAATGGCACACATTGGAGAATTAGAGCATAATTAAAGATCTTTTAAAAATATTTAAAACCTAAATAATATTATCAAAAATTACGAATAATATATTAATGTACTTAAAAAAGGAATAATATCTTAATAACTATTATTCTCTCAAAGTCCGTGACTATGAAATTCTTGTGTCCATAATGCTACAGTTAATTTAGACTATATCAATTCTTTTTAACATTGTCTTCCTCACTAGTTTATAATATTTATATGAAAAATTCAAATTAACAAAAATGTCACATGCCAATGTTTTCTCAAAATGTGGAAAAAAAGTAAAAAAAAAAAAAAACGAAAACTTTATCTATTTTTTTTATCATATATACAAAATCCTAAATGTGGGTCCGATTTGTATTGGGCATTTTGTAAAATGTTACCACTATAATTAAAAAAAAAACGAAGATTTAATATGTCATGTCTTGATTTTTCCTTTTTTCTTCCCTCTCTTTTTTTCTACTACGTGTTGAAAAGATCCACGAGATTTTTTAAACATGATTAAGGGTGAGTTTGGGAGTAATTGTAAAATGAGTGATTTTGAAAAAGGAGTTTTTTTATTTTTCAAAATCGTCATCGATACCTTAAAAATCAATTTAAATTAATTTTAAACTTTCTTAAAATCAATTTTTTAATTTACCAAACATAATCAATAGAGAGGGAAGTAATTTTGACAATGACATCATTCCCAAACACACTCTAAATGGAGTTCGTTTTTAAATATGACATTTACGCTGCCCCTATACCCGGGACCCGATACCCATACATACGTAAGAGGTCAAAACTTGAACCCAAGACCTCAAGGTCCCAAGACCTTAGGACTATTTTAAATATGATTAAATCATCAATGAATCTAAAAGTTTAAGCTAATAGGTTATGATAAATTTAATCGTAGGTAGATTTCTCAACACCATTCAATGCAACTCCGAAATACAAGTTTCGTACCACCAACGATACAGAATAGTCAGCCACATTATTTTAATTTTCTTGAATAATTTAAATGTTGACAGATATATATCTTATATTAAGGCATATAATTTATAAGTGGAAATTTATTTCAAAAATTGTTTGGGAAAAGCGGTTGGTGGCATTTATCGTTGGAAGAATTAATTTTCTTATGGAGACCATTCTTGGCTCGAAGTCATGTAGGTCCCTTAATTAAATGTCTATATTTACTTCTCTCCCACTTTCTATAACCTCTTCATTATATTTTTAGAAAAAAATAATATTATAATTTTAGATTATGTTTTTAGAAAAATTCTCTTTTAAGTTTTGTCTTCCCTCTTTAACAATAGAATATACCATGATGAGTCGGGTGATAATAACAAGAGAAAAAAAAATGGTAAAATGTATTTTTGTCATTAGTTTTTAATTTGATCCTGAGTTAAAAAATCATCGCTTTTTTTATGGTTAAATTTAAATTTAATTTCTATATGATTCTTAAATTTCAAAAGTAACTTGGTTTGGTTCCTAGAGTTTAAATTTAGCTTTTAGTTAATTGGTGAAGTTTAAGGTTGGTTTCTAATTGATCCATAAGTTGAGTTGACCTGACATAATGATGATGTGATAGTTAATATATGTTGACTAG